TGGTATGGTAACAACCCAGAATTGATAGGTTTTTGCTTTTCAGGCTCTCAGTTCAGCAGTCTGCAAGCTCCACAGCCAATAGATAAAGCTGAACTTTTTATACAGAATTTGGATTCTGTTGGTGTTTATTGTAATACTTTGAAGTATTGGGGTCAGAGCAGGAAGTTTTTTTTATCCCCATGATTGCACTTAGAAATCTATATTGTTTCTTTTCAGTTTTTAATTGTAAGCCACCCAGGGTTGCTGTGGAATCAAATTGAAATAAATAAATAAATAAATAAATTCCCTGTTACAGAGTATAAATATTACTATATTTCTATCAATATTTGTACATCTTAAATTTCTCCACTTCTTTTCCTATCTTCTTTAACCATTCTATCAAATTGTACCAGTTAATTGATTTGCTCTAGTTTCCTAAATCCATTTATGCATATGCTGAAATAACTCATTTTCATTTGGTCTTGGATACATTCTTTTCAATTTCATACTCATACATTTGCTGCAAATCATTGAGTACTCTGCCAATTAATACATCTCTGACATGACTTCAAGCTTTCCTTACATATTTGTCCATAAATTTATTAATACATTAAACAATCAACAATATATCACAAATCTTTCCATTATTTCTTATTTCTTATTTCCATTCATGTAACCTTTTTTAATCATTATATATTGCCCTTATTGCATTCAACAACACAATTTAATCTTTGTACATTTTTTAAAAAAATTATAATTCAAACTTTTTCATTTTATCAAATGCTTTCTCTGTATTAACATGCATACTTCTTCAATTAATAAACTTCCTTTCTGATATGTATTTCTCTGATTTCAGAAGAATAAAAATCTGATGTGCATCAGTCTTTCTAAGTTTTACTAATGTTACCTTTCACACCCTTTCAGAATTCTGCCAAACTTATACACTTAATAAACTAATTCCCTATTATTATTATTTTTACATTTTCACAGTATTTCTGACATCAACTTTCTCTTGAATTGTGGTCAGATCAGAAGATCTTCATGTGAACTATATGATAAGTTTGCCAAAAATTTTGCTAATAAATTCTGTCTGGAAACCTGAGAATAAGATGGTTTATAAACTGTAGTAAATAGATACATTACCAAAGAAAATCCTATGTGCTTCATATATTCAGTAAATGCTTAATTCAAATCTTTTTTGCTTAAATCATATGTTCAGTAGTATTGATGTTAACGGGATCTTTTTATAGGGTTCAATATAATACCAAATTTTAATTTTATATATAAAAATGTATTATGAGGAATAAATATTTTATTTATTGTTCCTGTAAGAATGAAGTAAAATTGAGGAGTCACAATTTATGACTTGGGGAATGTGAAAAAAATGACTTGGAACTGGATATTCTTAATTATATTAAGAATAGACAGATAAATGAGATTTTTAATGTCCAAAGGAATTCCACACTGAAATTTTAGTAAAGGAAGAAAGTATAAAATACAGTGTATGTAGATGCTGAGGTAATTCCACAGCCGTTTGCTAGTGCCTTACTTGGATCTGAAAAGGAACCCAACAGAGAGAACTTGGGAAAAGGAAATAGATCAATGATGATCCAACAGCCAGGTTTTTGAATACTTGTTTGACAGCTAAGAAGAAGTAGGATTAAAGTGCAGAGTCAGAGAAGGAGAGCCAAATGGATCAATACTTCCCATTTTACATAATATGAAGATTAATGGAGATTCACCCATTTTCATTTTACATTTTGTAAAAAATTAATACAGAGTAATTGATCAATTTGGAGTGAGGTTTTAAAAGGTGTGGGGAATTCATATTTACAGTGAAATGGACAGTGGAAAGAGGTTGGGTTGTCTGAAGTTACTTATTCTAGCCAAGTTGCATAAGACAGGCCATTCATGCTGTATGCTGCTTTTGTTGATATCTCCTGATCTGCAACTTTATGCTAAACGAACAACATCATGGAAAATTGTTTAATCTGTGGATTAGTTTTCAGAATAGGACTGCCATTGTTCTTAATAGCAGGTAAGACATTTCCATTTATGTTGTATTAAGGTCATAGGGAAAATAAAATTGTGAATATTACCATGGAGATAGGAAAATAATAAATCAGATTTACTTTCAAATTCAGTCAAACACAGAACAGGTTTTCTTGTAGTATTCTCTTATGCTAATGCGAAGGTTTACATTTGTTCTGTAGGAATCAACAAAACTGTCTTGAGTCTTCCTAGATTCTAGAAATTGTGTTTGTTGATTCAACATGAAACTAATTATGATTGACCTGCTTGGAAATTATTTCTTATAATTAGAACAAATATAGATCAATCAGATAAAGACTATGGCTTCTAATAGTTTCAACTGAAGAATTCAATTTCATTAAAAGTATTAAATGTTCTAGAAAATGTAGATGAAATTGAGAAAATGTCAGAAAAAGGGAATTAGACCTAATCATAGCAGGAGGGATAAGAATTAGTTGCTTGCTTAGGCTTAACATTCTGTATTTGTTTATTTAAAAAAATGATATCTGTCATGTAAAGCAACCCCAGGGGGTAATTTTGAAGGCAATATAAAATGGAAAAGAAATGCAGCATGCACAAAGTAAAGCAGATATCTCACAAACCATGCTCTGTAGCCGTGCAATATTTAGTATCAGTGGAAGAGGAAAACAAAATTGATGATGATACTGGAATGCTAGCCCAAAAGGAACAGCTGACTGGGAATGCTGTATATTTCTTCAAATTGAAAATTTACAAACTTTTCTATATTTCCATTAAAATGTACAATTGCTGTCTTGTTTTGATAAGAAGAAACAGGTCCATTTTATTAAATGTTACACAAATCAAGGAATTCATTTAAAGAAGGGTGGATATAGTTTTTAGTTGAGTTTGGCTAAACTAGTAAGTATAAGCTATTTAATCTGGTTAGTGCTAATTGGGAATTGCAAGGCTTAAAACTTAAACCTTCCTAGGAAAAGACAATAGCAAATCACTTCTGTATTCTTGCCAAGAAATCAACATGGTATGCAATAATCAGAATCAACCTCAACTTGGAGAAAATTCTAACTTTTATAACCAAATTGGCAGACTTTCAAGGTTGTTGGAAAATAGTGTTTTGCCTGAGTGCAATCACATGCATTTTTATTTCTGAGGAAGTCCAACTAAATTCAATGGAATATCTCATCTTTTTATGCAAAAAGAAAAAAAATGCAGCCAACATTTAAAAGTAGGATGCAATCACAAATCTAGGGTTAAAGCAAAAAGAACAACACTGTGAAAGCCATGTTTTAAATGGAAAAAGTCCCACGGTATAGGTAGAGAAATTATGGGTGCGTATGTGTGTCAAAGAACAAATTATGTGAGCAATATAAAAAGAGAAGATGGAAAGAAGGATGGCAGGGAACAAAAGAAAGGCATAAATTAAAATTTAATTAAAATCATGAATAAATAAAATAAATAATCTTCAGAAATGGAAGACAGATTTGTAAGCCTTATTGGAAAAGGTACACTTTCATGTGTATTTCATGTAACTTAAATTTTAATTATGGTATATATAAAATTAAATATATTTTACACTGGATATGCACTTTTTAAAACATTCCTACTATTGCTAGATAACCAGAGATGGTTTCAGAGACATTTATCACTGAATTGGCTATGTGTAATCAGCACAGAGAAATTGGGTGAAATCATTTGCTAGCTAATAATGTAAAATATTTTGGACCAAGCAAACATATACTAAAGAGACAAATACTGAACTATGTACCTTAACTACCTATGTTTTGTATTCACTAAGTGCTAAATTACTGGTATTATAGTAAAGTTACACAACATTTAGAATAATGTTTGGCTATTTTCACAGCTATAGGTTTTAGATACAATGGGCTATCTCTGATCTACCTCATCTTCCTGCTAATTCTCCCACTGTGTCCCAGACCAAATGATATTATGCAAGGTAGGCAAACATCCACCAATCCTAATACACCTTTCCTAATTTGATGACCTCCAGGTAGGTATAGATTTCAGTCAATATTGATAAAGTCCAATGCTTACAGAATTCTGGAAATCATAGCCTCAATCCATTTGAGAGTGCCATGTTGACTATAGCATGTTCAACTTTCTCTTACTTAGCCCAACTCACCTGACAAGGCTGGAGGAGGAGGGAATTTATTGTTCACTTTCTTGAGTTATTTATAAAAATAATAAAGATGGTATGGAAATAAATAAAAAGTTGAATACAGTGGAATAAACTGCTAGAGTGTTTATGGTCAGATCCTGAGTGATTCAAAGAAGTAAATAGAAGCAAAAATAATGGAGTTGAGTTGCAGAATTGTGTATCAGTCACTAGACACGTGAAAAATTATGCCAGCTTTGTAGTTTCAAGATGGCAAGGAAAATAATGAAATTTATCAAGATATAAGTTGGGCAATTAGAACTGAAATTTAACTGGCCTGAAGAATGTTGAAATAATGAACACCCATAATCACAGGAACGTGCAGTATTCCTCCTTTCCCCCTATATCTCCCACATACAGGGGGACCAAAATGAGATAGTAAAGCAGAAAAAAGTGATAGTAATCTCTAACTCCAAATTATCTTTTCATATATCCTGAGTGTCTTAAATAATGACTACAAATTATTTATCTATTTATAATAACTTTCATGGAAAAGTGTTGCACTTTAATCTGTGTTTGGATCCACGTGTCTATCTTAGAAAATATAAGCAGATAGAAGATCTAGAACAGTGTTTCTCAATCTTGGCAACTTTAAATTGTGTGGACTCAACTTCCAGATATCCCCCAACCAGCAGGAAATTAAGATTGCCAAAATTGATAAACACTAATCTAAAATGTGGGGTCTAGGTGACCAAAATGTTTGAATTTCAACATACTGTCTACTTTTGGGTCCTCATATTTTCTCAGATGTTCTATTTTCAAAATTGCCCTTGGTCTGAAGAATCTTTGTATGACTTCTATGGTATAAGGGAGCATCACAAGAAATTCTGAGGCAGTATCCTTTGTAAAAATGAATGCAGTTTTTGTTGCTCTGTATAAATGGCAGAAGCCATTCATAGCATCAGCATGTGCATCTTTTATGGTCTCTGATCTGCACTTATTGCTCTTGTCTCAGAACATTTCCTACAAAATCATCTGAGTAGCCACAGTATTCTTTGGATCGTATTTAAGAACCACAGCACTATTTCAACTTTGATCTGAAAATCTGTAACTAATTTTGTTTATCTAAACATACTTCACTTTAAACTGGCTGGATATCCCTTTATGATTAATCCCATTCTGGAAGCCAGATATTTATTCTCTCATAAATAGTTGCATCGTGATTTAGAAATCAACTTATTAAATTTTAGGATTTTGCTCCTTTGTTGCGTTTTTTTAAAAATGGAATTGTGTGATGGAATAGAAATATTTTCATAATGTTTATGTTTTTGTCTTTCAGGGTTCACCAGGCACTTGTTTAGAACCGTCAGCTATACCAGCTTCTTATTTCTTATGTTACAAGTGGCTTTTCAAATAGCTTTCTACTACTTACCACCTAATGGTACAGATCAGTTCAAAATTTTATGGCAATAATTTGTTCTAGGGATAAAAAGCATTACAGCTAGAGATCAGACTTGGAATAACTTATCAAAGATATTTTTGCACAACAAAATTAATTGGTTATTTAACCAGAAGTTAGTGTTCTTTGAAAACATCATCAATTAGAGCTGACTAAAATATTTGTAAAATAAAAAGTTAAATAAAAGATTAAAAACTAATTCTAACTAATATAAAGTAAGAAAGAGAAAAGAAAAAGAAAGAAGTCAAAGAAAAAGTTAAAAATTCCAGAAAAAATAAAGAAAAAGAAAAAAAATATACAAAGAAGTAGCTTCCAATCTTCTTTACAGCAATCATAGGTTGAATTCTGGGTGGCCATTTTGAATTTCTCAAGTTTTAAACATTACCTCAGAATGGTTTGTTCTGAGGTGGTTTGAAATTTGAAAAATTCGAAATGGTTCTACATTATTGTTGTACAATATCTCTATAGAAAAAGAAACAAAAAGGGGTATATGGTTATATTTTAATATGCAAGGACTTGGTATATCTGTGGTTTAGTAAGCTATAGTTTCTTTCAAAAAAGTGTAGTGAATCTAGAAGGTATTTATAGATATAAAATAACAATATCTACTTTCATGTAAATTTATCTTTAAATCTGAACTACTGGGAAATCGTTTTTTTTGGTTTTTTTTGTTTAGAATTTTTTTCCTTTTCTGGAATCTTCTAAAATACCTCTTATAAAATGCTCAGTTACTTTGTTGAAAAACAGACACAAGTATTTTTAAAAGTTTCATTTGGGGGATAAAATTATTTTCTGATTTTGGTAATATGAGGCCATTTGAAACTTATCAGAAATAACTTATTAGAAATATTTGTCATCATTCATAGGGTTCAAGCCAAGTATGACTTGGGCAGTGACATGTCCTTCATGTTTATATACAGTAAATTGATTTTAATTTTAATTAGAATGACCTTGTTTTTACGTTTGTTTTGCACTTATTTCTTTGCCAATTTCAAAATTCTAAGACATTCATATGAAGGACTGCAAATATTTTATTTTGCCAGTAATACAATCATGTGTTAGACACCCCCCCCCCAAACACACCTCAGTTCCACCAAAATATACATTTTTTAGGAGAAAAATATGTTAAAAGATATTGAGGAATGTAATGTAATGGCTGTTTCCAAACCAATGGTTTTTCTTTTCCCAGATTTTTTTGGGGAGGAAGTGCTGTCACATTTTGGTATTGTACGGTAAGATTTTAATTCAATTGCCTAGTTTTATTGTTGGGATGGGAAAAGGTAGGCTTGTCCAAAGGACATGGTTGAAAAAAGTCAAAATAGCAGCCATGACAGTACAACTGAAACTTTGCCCATTTTTTATGTGTGTCACAGAACTTTGATTGCACCATCAAGGCAATCACTGGAAACTTTGAATAAATATTTTATTATTTCTATGTATTTATTAACAATTTAATATTTTGATAAATATAAATAAGTACCAGTAATAGCAACAAGCCTTCCCATCCCATTGTTAACCATTTTCCAAAGATTCTAGAATGTTACTTAATGCTGTCTTTTTGACAGCCAGATTTGATGGATTCAGTGGCTTGTTCCTCACATCTTGGGAAAACTTAATTAAATGTATGATGCATCTGCTTCCATTTTGAGTAAGTGGCATTTTTAACACAATTGTTTTTCACTCTCTGGCATAGCTTGTGATTTTCCTGGACTGGAACCCTCAGCCTATGTATTGGGGTCTCTTTGCAGCAGCTTCACTAGTACAGGTTGTTTAGTGACCCGTTTTAGGTTGTTCCATCTTCATTATGTAAAGCTCTAAAGTAGGGTTTTCCAACCAGTGGTACGGGTACCACCTGTGGTACATTGGCACCTGGCAGGTGGTACGCGAACATCCTAGAAAAGTGGTAGTGGGGGAGGGGAATGAGCTGAACCGGTGGTAGCAACGCACAAGCTTAAACGAGAGATGGCTGGAGCTGCAAGGATGTTAGGGCTCAGCAGAAGTGCCAGGATCATCACCAGGCTCTACTCAGTGGTTCTCAACCTGTTTAATGCCGTGACCCCCAGCCGGTCGTAAGTCGAGGACTACTCAACCGGTCGTAAGTTGAGGACTACTCAACTGGTGCAGCACCGTTTGCAGAATGGGACTTTTGGCGGGCTCAGCAGGGCAGAGACAGCCTGGACAATTCCTATTGGCTTTTGAAAGCCAATAGAATTAGACTCTATTCAAGAGAGTCTATTCTATTGGCTTTCAAAAGCCAATAGAATAAAAGGGAGTAGCACAGCTAAGGAAAAGGGGAAAAAAATGGCGGACTGTGTTGTTTGGCGACCCCTGTGAAATGGTCGTTCGACCCCAAATGGGGTCCAGACCCACAGGTTGAGAACCACTGCTCTAGCTGGAGCTTGGCACTGATCCTGGTGCTTCTGCTGAGCCCAGACGAAGCACCGATCAGCTGAAATGTTGCAGCATCTCCAGGGTCATGTGATTTACATTCAGATGCTTGGCAATTGATTCATATTTGTGACGGACACACTGTCCCAGGGTCATGTGAAGTGACCAAAACCTGCTGCAACCACCCAGCAGACCAATCCTCAACAGAAATGCTCACAACAATGGAAACCTCAGACAGGAGGAAGAGCGCCGCTGGGTAAACAAGCAAGTGTCTTGCTGAGCTGTGGCTTGGGGGGCACTTTTTCAGTGCCACTGTAACTTCGAACAGTCACTAAGCGAACTGTTGTAAGTCGAGGACTACCTGTACTTTATCACTTTTTTCCTTTTTTGGGGGAGGGTCATCAAGTTTTTGATACCCTGCTAGGCGACTGGTGGTACTCGGATACTGCCATATCTTAAAAGTGGTACAATGGGTGAAAAGGTTGAAAAGTCCTGCTCTAAAGGACCCGTCCACTTTGCACCACTTTGAATTGGCTCCAGCCCTAATTGATCTCATGATGCTATCTGTTTTGAAGAAAATGAATCAATATATTAATAACTCTCCTCCAGTTTTTTGTAGATAGTATTTTCCTTTGAATCTCTTGATTGTAGATCTAGCGGGCAATCTGTTGTCTTCATAATAGGAATTCTTGCCTAACCCCATATCTTGGCTCCCAGGTTCAAGAAAAGGATTCCTCTCTTTATCTTTCTACCATCAGATATTCAACAACCCATTCCTTACCAGAAATTATCCCCTTTTCCCCAATCCAGCCACCAGAGCAATTTGCAATAATGGTCACAGCTTAGGAAATACAAGTATTGAAAAGGAAGGAAGGGAAGATATGTGCTCACATTTTTATTTTCTTTTTGTGTGGCATGAAAATAGAGGGATTCTTGTTACTTGGTGGATGTTTGGGTGAGACGGGGCAGGAAATTAAGTCTATGATGTTCTTTGCATTTCCCTCTTGGAAGCTGAAGGGTAAGAAATCAGCAAAAAAGCAACATAAATTAAGAGGATGCATGTAAACTGTGCATGAATGTTTGGGAGGATAAAACATTGGTGGTATGCTCTTATTTCACAAACTCATTATCATTTGGTACTCTCCAGTATGGTGAAATCGTCTGCCAGTAGTGCAAATACCATTTAATTATAACTCTTAATTATGGGGATTAAAGTTTAATATATAATAATTCATCTGGCTGAATATGATTTATCTATAAAGTGCAGGATAGGAGGATAGATGAATGCAGAAATGACGACTTCAACTGTGATACAAAGTAAATGGTTGATGCATAGTACCTCTTTTCTCGGTGAATAACCTGGACCTAAATCCCTATGATATGAGTAGAATTTAATTCCAGGCATGCAGATTTAAAATGCAATTGGAGGGTGATAGATACTTAATCCTTGAGCTCCAAGGATTAAGGAAAAGCTTGTGTTGTTTTGCCTAAATCAGAATCTGATCCATAGCATGGAGCAAAAATAAAGAAGTTTTTCCTACTAGACTGGGAAAATCTTACCTTTATAAAATACTAACATTCCATGTACCTTGTAGGTTTAGCAGGCTTGATGCTGGAAACATCATACATCTTTTGGCTCCTGACATTGGAATGTTTCTTTTTGGTCTGACTGTCACACTGCTTTACCATAAGACATTGAAACTCAACAACTGGGGAAGTGAGCCTCCATCTAGAGACCAAGATCAATTCTCTTCTGATGAGGAAGAAGACATGAAAGAGACGGTAGAGATGCTGCATGTGTTGCATTTGTTGGTGTAACAGAAACAGAGTGAAGATTAGAAAAGAAAAGGGAAAGGATCTTCTTTATTCTTTATAATAAAAGCACTTAGTGACTTAGTTCACATGACATTCTGAACCTCAAACTAGCAACCACTTTTTAGCCTTGTACCTTGTGCTATTTTAAACTGTGTGATTTGTTTTTATTTCAATGTCTTTTTGTGGAGTTCAAAAAAATCAAAATGGTGGCCACAATTGTGCAGTCAAAGTCCTTCACCCTTCTTATATGCATCACATCCAAACACAAATATGTCATGCAAATATACAGAACTGAATGAGTTTCATAAAATATTTGTGCAAATATAACTGTCAAGTATAAATAACATGAATCAGAATCTTATTCCAATGATTTACTCAAGCATAGTGTGTTTGGTTAGTTTTTAGCTCAGACTTTTGCATTCAACCCAACCATGGCAGTTTATGGCTCAGTCAATTTTGGTTTATTCACTGAACTATGATGACAGAAATTGAAGCTTACCATACTTCAAAGAATATGAAAGGGGACACAATCAGTTAATTAATTGGAAATGAAAATAATTCATCAAATGAGTTATTTGACTTGAACTTGAACTTTAAAGTATCTAATAATCCATGTGTAATCCTTATAATTAAAAAGCAATAACTGTGTACAAATGTTTGATTTGGACTCATTAGCCTTATGTGATACATATCTATTCAGAAATAAATCTGTCTAAATTCGGTGGTGCTGAAGCAAAGCATAAACATAACTTCAGCCTAAAAATATGTTTTAAAAAGACCACATTAAAAAAAGAGAGCAAAACTTGCATCTCTTAGATAAATCTGAAGTAAATAAATGTTGTACTCATTGAAGAGTAATTTCTCATATTCCTTCCAAAAGTATATAGACTTTTCCACATTTATCAGATGAGAAAATAGACTTGTTTGCCTGTTTTTAAAAAAATATGACAATACATATATATTGAATACATTGGCATATCAACAGAGCCCTAATAATTTATCAGACTTTAAGAAGATGAAATAATCCATCAGCATTTTCCCCCAACTGGATTTATTTAAGTGCTTTATTTGGAGAAACAACAATTCCTTATACAGAATTGTAACATAATCTCTAGCCCTCTTGTTGTCTAATGATTTTGCTGCTTGTGTTGAACATTGATTCTTGATCAATATATTCCATATCCACAGGAATCTGAAGCAGAAACTGAAGATACTGGGGACACAGACATTGGCTGTCTATTTGAAAAGGATCATTTAAGATGCAGTCATTCAGGTTTCCTTCTGAAATTCACATTGTTCCTAACAGGCTTGGAGATTCTTTGTGAAGACACACTTAGAACTGCTGGCAAAGTCTTTGTTGTGCTTCTGTTAGGCTCAACAGGTACAAGTTATTTCACATATTTGTGGGACAGTGGGTTAGGTTAGGCATAATTTAGTGCCCCCACAAGAAGAAAGAAAAAGGAAGGTGATCTTTGGCATTTTAAAATCTGGATATAGTGTTTGGGTATTTGTATGACAGGACAATACAAATTATACCAAATGGAGAATAGGTATCTCCTGGTCTGTTTCAGTCAATAATGATCCTTCTTTCTCCACATGAAGAAGTCATAAATAGCAAGCTTGGCCTATTCTGACTCTGAGTTAAAAACGCCTTCTTTAAATCAAGTCAGATAGATAATTCAATAGAAATGATTTTATAACAAAAAATATATTTCAATCAGAAAGATCACTTGCATACATACTGTGGCTGTTACTTCTGGAAAATACATATTTTGTCCATTCCTATAGGTAAAAGGATGATGCTCTCTTCCATACCATCTTTATAATGGCGCAGGCTCATCGTGATGACATCTGACTGCCCGTGCTTCTTTCAGACAAAGACATTCCAATCTGGCTTGTGTCCAGGAAGTCTCCCAATGCCCTTTAGAAACTCCTCCCACTGACCCATCAACAAACCCAGCATTTAACCCAATAACTGCCAAATATTCTAACATACTGATACATGCTCACTAGTTAGGGTTACATAGAGCTATACGAGGTTACATAGAACTATATGGGTCAGAATATGGCCCATTAGTAGCAGTAACTTGGAAGTTTTAGCTTTTGCTTTTCATCCATGTCTTACCCACATCCACCACATTGTTCTCCATTCTGATTAGGGGGGGGCAGGAGTCCTCCATAACAACTCCAGTTTCTCATGTGGCTCATGTGGCCTTTGGGGAAAATTAATTGCCCACCCCTGCTTTTATAGAAAGTCCTTGCTTAACAACCTCCACTGGGACTACCGATCCATTGCTAAGTGCCCTGGTTGCTAAGAGGAAAATCACATGACTGTGATGGGCATATGATGTCAATTCCTATTTCATTAAGTAAATCACCATGATTGTTAAATGAGACATTATGTGACCATGACTTGCAGTTTGACTTCCTCATTCTCATTAATTCTGCTTGTCAGAAACTGGTTGTGAAGCACGCAGATGGCAATCACATGACCATAGGATGCTGCAATGGATGTAAATCCCAATGTGCTTTTCTAAGGCAACTGGATTTTCCTGTTTTTTTTTAAAAAAAAAACACACACACATTTAACTTCTCATCCAAGAAGCTTTTTCAGTTCTTCAGAGATTTCTTGAATAAGAGGCAATAGCAATAGCACTTAAACTTATATATCACTTCATAGTGCTTTACAGCCCTCTCTAAGTAGTTTATAGAGTCAGCATATTGCCCCCAACACTCTGGGTTCTCATTTTACCGACCTCGGAAGGATGAAAGGCTGAGTCAATTTGAGCCACTCAGAATCGAACTCTGGAGTGAGCAGTGAGTCAGCCTGCAGTACTGCAGTACTGCATTCTAATTACTATGCCACCAAGAAGTGAAATGTTTTCAAAGAAAAAAATCAAAAAATTCCAGTTGCCTTTTGGAAAAGCATGACCTGATTGAGAATCTCCATAGACAATGGATATAATGTAAATGTGAGAATTGGTCATAAAGTTATGTTGTTTTAACACCATTGTAACTTTGAATGGTCATGAAATGAGACTATTGGTATATGAGGACCACCTGTATTCTATTCTATTCTATTCTATTCTATTCTATTCTATTCTATTCTATTCTATTCTATTCTATTCTATTCTATTCCACTCCACTCCACTCCACTCCATTTTATTTTATTATTACATTTAAAGAGCTTTTATTTCTATGGAGGTGTTCTTAATTTTGTGGTGGATCTCCAATGGTATAAACTGGATCTTATTACCAAGAAAAATCATATTTCCTTATCCCTAGGTATAATTCTGCCTTCTGCATGCTCAGCAGTTTATTTCTTTACCTTCCTGGGCTTGTGCACCTGGTGGTCCTGGAATTGTCCAATCAGCCCAGTTCTCTTCAATAGTTTGTGTGTTTTTCTTGCAATATTTTCCGCCGGACACATCATTGTGCTTTACATATACCAACTGCCATACTTCCAAGACCTTATTTCTTCAGAAGACATTTATGTCAGGTAAAAACAAATCTCACAGATGAGAAAACATAAAGGTGAAACCTCAATTGACTATGCTTATTTTATTTAAATTTGATTACCTGAGTCATTTTAGGTATTACTTTTGGTAGAAGGTATAATACTTTGTATTCATCATATCACTCATTTTAAGTCCTGGTTGCAGTTTGCCACTGGAAAAAATGACTTGAGTTGTAGAAGTGCAGAGCGCATAACATACAAAATATTTCTGAAATTTTACTTTGTTTATTTTAACATTATTTCTGTTTACTTTTAGATTTAGGAAAATGAAAATAAGAAGAAAAATAAAGCCAGGTGCTTATCCTAGGAAAAGTACCAGTTTTCAGTGCTTCCTATGTACATGTGAATCTAAATTACTTGCAGAATCATCCTAAGCAATAGTTAGGATTGTAGCTTTGCTCATTCACATTTATGTACTTGCAAATTTTTATTTGAAGTGGTTGTACTCAGAGGAAAATATTATACATATTTCACTGAATTATAAAGCAGAACAGATGTTCCCAATTTGCTTGCACTCTTCAGATGTGTTGGACCAAAATTCTGAAGTTTTGTTATACTTGACAGGGAATTTTGGAAAATCAAGTCCACCAGATTTCATGGGTGCCCAAAAGCAGAAGCCTGAAATAGACTGAGGCAATAGAATTTGCAGATTCAGGAAAGTTTCCTTTTTTAAAATTTGTTTTATTTGGGGTTGATGTATACATTATGAATTCCTGAGAGCAGGAATCTAATCTAAGCAATGATTAGCTAAGCAGGTGTGGTAACTATAATAAAACATTTAGTTCTGTAATTATAACAGAAAATACATCATAGAATGTTAAAGTTTGAAGATGGCTCTGAAAATGGTATTTGGTAACCATTATGGTAACACCAGCTTAGCCAAGAAAGGGAGGAGGAAGTGAGAAAAAAACTCAAGATTGCTCCATTTTAATTTTCTTGCGTATCACTTTGAAGAGGGGAGGGAGAGACAACCTGACGGGTTTTCAAGATTAAAGCTATTCCTTTCAAGCAGTCCAAATCAGGAAAAAGTCTATCAGAACCCTATTTTTTTTATAAGTTATAATAAGAGAAATCTGGCACCCTGATACTGTTTCTTTTACACTCCCTATTTACGCAAGAGAATCAAGGCTGGGCAATTTTGAGTTTCTTTTGACTCCCTCTTCCCTTCTCAGGTTAAGCTCTTGTTTATGCAACACCTTTTCAATCACTTCTTCAAGGACATCTCTGTTCTTGCTCTGCATATCCATGGGGCAAAGTCTAACACCTACATTGCTATAACCTCCAAGAAAGAGAGTCCAAGAATTGTGCTCTGTTTTTGTATGCTTGAGAAGAAAGATAGAAGAATATGAACCAGATTAACAATCTCTGAGAAAAAGACCATATAGAATGATGGGCAATAAAGAGACACGGAAAAAATCCTTAACCCCCTATCAATATTATATATGTGATCAGCTGGTTAGGATTAAATTAGATGTTGAGGAACTAGTTCCATTGGATCCACTCCTCCATGTATGAATCTGAGTTCTGCAGCTTTTCTTCTATTGTCTTTTTCTCTAGGATCTTGGGCATTGTGCCACTTATTAAGACAAACATTACAGCACCTTGGAAACTACACATTCATCCTCACCTAAACTGGCCAGTGGCTTTGAATCCTTTTTTCCTTCTAGCCCTGTATTATTTATTGGTCAGAAAGTTGCAGCAGTGGACATTGCTTGCTAAGGTATGGTGTATATTAAAATTGAGTATAATATGGGAATAAAAAGTTTCATTTACATTTTGAATAATGAGTATTATTATTATTACTATTATTATTATTATTATTATTAGTAGTAGTAGTAGTAATAGTTTATTATAGTGGAATTTTTATTATATTGTATTGTTTAAGAATTAGGATATTAATTTGTTTATGTTATTATGCTTATTTAGAATTTGTTTATTTTATGTTAAAAGGGAGTTAAAGTGTATTATGGATTTGGTTTTTATATAGTTGGTTAATGTTATTTAGATTATGATTGTCATATTTGTAACCCTGTATTCAGCTCTGGGAAGTGTGGGAGGGGGAGGGGTGGGGGGGTTGGGGTTGTTTTGTTGTAAACTTTTGTGCAACTTTTCAATAAAAAAAAATTGAGTATGAATCAGCCAGACCTTTGAGATTTCCTTGTAGGGATACAGAATTTGGCTTATATTCCTGTTCTACTTGCATTTGACTGATCCTTCTATATTTATAAGTCTCCTTTTCAATAGTATTAAACCTTCCACTACTGGTTACCATTTGAGAAAAAGTCTATGTATGTGTGTATGCTTGTGGTTGATGAGATTTTGATGAGACCTTTTAAATAGGGTTGTATGTTAATGTCTCTGCTGAACTGATTTGAAAGAAATGAATCTTTACCCTACAAATACTATTGGGTTGTTCTAAGAGATGTATTATTATTATTGGAACTTTGTCAACATTTCAGATTTTTCTGGGTTGATCTCAAGAAAGGATGAACTATCATGAGCTGTGCCTCAAAAATTAAGAATATGAGCAGGCATTTTTTTTTTCCTGAAAATGATAAGACCAATACAATTGCCTGTTTCAACTCTCAAACACATTTGCACTAAGCAGCAGGATTGTTGATTGGGGACAGTTTAAATAGTCCTCATTTTTTAAGGACCCTGACTGGGACTGGCAACTCCATCTTTAAGGAAAGTGGATGTTAAATAAAACATCTCATGACTGCTCCACTTAATGATGCCAGTTTCAACAGACCCTGTTGCTGTTGTTAAGCAAATCCCATGTGGTCATCAGACGAGGACCCACCCTGATCCAAGTTATTCTTCTTGCAAGGCAGAGACTGCCTCCACTTCATTTGTCTTTTGGCTACTCGCCTACAGTGCTGCTACTACTACTGCCACCAATGCCAGCCACAGTGCCCACTGCCTCTGCAGGCCACTGTACCTGCTGCTACTGCTGAGACAAAACAATACAATCCTTCCCACTTTCATGGCTGCTGTTGCTGCTGCCCCCTTAGCAGCCACTTCTACCACTCACTGGCCACCACTGCACCTGCTGTGGTCAATGGGCAGCAGATGGTAGGAATAATTGTGGATGGTAGGGGTCGTAGCACTGGTGGGTGCAGTGATCAGTGCCAGACTAACAATCCGGCAGAAACAATACTCCAGTCAAGGAATCATCGAGGAGAAAACCACATTCTTACCAGGCAAGCTCTTATCTATAAACAGGTAGCAAACTCCACACTCAGTCACACTAGTTGGGCAAGGAGACATCTGCAAGCAAACAGCTCAGAGACCACTAAGGACTTTACATTTTAACCACGAGCTAAATATGTTCTCTTCTGTTGGGAAGATATTTCTTCTGTTTCAGTCATAAGATTTTTAAAAGATTATTTGATATGCATACATGCACATATGTACACTCATGTACATACCTGCTACTGTACAGGCATATTTACTGAAACTTAGTCTTCTGCTCAAAGGCACATGAGGTGATGCAAGATAGAAGTAAAACATAAACCCTGTTAGCTGCAGCAATTGTATTTAATAACCATGCATAGGAAAAATAATTTGTTATGAGTCAGGTGAATAAACTGCATGTTATATTAGGCACAATGTATGTTTCAGACTTTTCCCATATTGTTTCTAGTGCCGTAAGGGAAACCTCCCCAACTCTCTGTTAGTTCTGCTAAGAAGGTATATGTATTAGATCTTGCTAGTACATCAAATATATTACAAAGTTTGCTTGATCCTAAATTCTGCAATCAACCTTTAAAACAAAATCTATTCTAACTGTATGAGATCTCATTTAAGGAGCAAAGAATGCACAAGAAAAATGAACTGAGTTATTTGGCTAATATCAAGTATTAGGCTTTTAGTTGGGAGAAAAATGGATGAAATAAAGGGCTGTGAGAAGATAGTCCTAGCTCAGTGATGACGAACCTTTTAGAGACCGAGTGCCCAAAAACTGGCCCCGCTGCCGCTCCACCCCCACCCCATCCCCCACCCTGCCTGCCCGCAGGGCCACTCACCACCTCCAGGGCCCGCCACAGATTGCCCAGGCAGCCCAGCAGCACCAATGGCGGCCACGCCCTCTGCCCGCACCCCGCAGCATCAACTGCGTGATGGGGCGTGAGGCAGAGTCTTGTCCACACTGCCTGGCTGCCATGTCCTCTGCTCTGCATGGGCCACGCTCGGGGGCAACTCTCCTCCAGGGGGGCTGCTGGAGAGGAGGGGGTCGTGGGGGGAGGCGAGGCTGGGGCAACAGCACGTGTGCCCACAGAGAGGGCTCCAAGTGCCGCCTCTGGCATGCGTGCCATAGGTTCGCTACCACGGTCCTAGCTATTGAGACGATTCTACATTCCTTTTATACCTTCTGTTCCTTAAAGTGATCTGCTATAAAATGGTTATAGATCCAGGTTTAAACATATGGCTCAGGGTATAAACCATGGATATAAAAATAGTATGTTTTATTGTTTTCATGATGGCTTTCCTCCATTTAAATTAATGCATCATTTTAGGAGCCTAAAGAAGAAGTTATTCAGTTCCATTCTGAAGACTATGTAGAAGTTAAGACGCATTCTAAGTTTCAGGTGAGCATGGATGCCAATGGCGAGGTAAAATGTTATTAAAGGAGTGATTATAACCCTTGTCACATAACAATAATCTAGGACATTCGGACAAATGATTTCTTGATATAGGAACTATTTTGGAAACTTTGGAGTGAGATAATTAGAGAAAAATACTCTATGTCCCATTATCGCTGCCTTCTAAAAGTGAACCTTCAGATGTGCATAGGAAAAAAAAATACTATATGAAGTGAAGGCTGACAAAATAAGAAAAATGGTCCACTGGATTTTGATTTGTTATTAGGTATTGAGAATAGTTTGTACAGATGGTTTGCTGTTTGTTTCCAGTTATGCTCAGATTGTACATATATCTTGTTCTTTTCAATAACCCCAAACCTCTAGTTTGTCTTCCCAAGATAGCCCATAAAAGTTCTTACTGTAGCATGCCTGTATCATAGATTAGGCATAACAGCCACAGTGCTAAGAGCCTATGAAACTTTTGGGACCTAACAAAAATGAAAAAAAAACAAAATAAAACAAAATTAATACTGCTCTTGGACAAAAGAAAAGGTGTAGCACCTTTAACCTCTTTAACCTTTCCTCTTTGTATAAAATCAAAACACTTCCATTGTTTGTCTAGATGGTTTCGCTTTCAAGTGAAATTCCACTGGAATGCCTCCTTTTGCAATATCAGAATTATAACTGTTGCAGTATGGATGGCTACATCAATCAAGGACGCAGTATTTCTCTATCAGGTATACCATATATTGCATATTGCATGTTGCATATTGAGTACCAGATCATTCTGTTTGCCCCATAGAAATACTGTACAGAGAAATAGTTACTATACTAATGCATAGAGCTTCTGACCTACACCAACAACAGAGAAGTATTTTATATCATTTTAAGAGAATAACAGAGTTGGAAGAGACCTTGGAGGTTTTCTAGTCCAATGCTCTGCTCAAGCAGGAGATCCTTACCATTTCAGACAAATGGTTGTCCAGTCTTTTTTTAAAAGCCTCCAGTAAGGCTTTTAAGAGTAACAACTTCTGAAGGCAAACCATTCCACTGGCTTATTATTCTCACTGTTAGGGTGCTCTGGAAAATACCGTAGGTTCTCTCCCCCCTCTTCTTTGTGACAGTCCCTCAAGTATTGGAACTCTTGTCACCCCATATCCTTTTTTTCACTAGACTAGACATACCCAATTCCTGCAACCATTCTTTTAAACATATTTAAATATTAAAAACATTTTATTTTTATGAAATATTTATTTAATATTTAAATAATTGGATATCTATTTAATAATAATAATAATAATAATAATAATAATAATAATAGTTGGAAAGGACCTTGGAGGTCATCAACTCCAACCCCCTGCTCAGGCAGGTAACTCTATACCATTTTGGACAAATGGCTATCCAGTTTTTTCTTAAAAACTTCCAGTGTTGGAGCATTCACTGCTTCTGGAGGCAGGTTGTTCCACTGGTTAATTGTTCTAACTGTCAGGAAGTTTCTCCTTAGTTCTAAGTTGCTTCTCTCTTTGGTTAGTTTCCACCTGTTGCTTCTTGTCCCGCCTTCAGGCGCTTTGGAGAATAACTTGACTCCCTCTTCTTTGTGGCAGCCCTGAGATATTGGAACACTGCTATCATGTCCCCCCTCGTCCTTCTCTCCATTAAACTAGACATACCCAATTCCAGCAACCGTTCCTTATATGCTCTAGCCTCCAGTCCCCTAATCATCTTTGTTGCTCTTCTCTGTACTCTTTCTAGAGTCTCAATATCTTTTTTACATCGTGGTGACCAAAACTGGATGCAGTATTCCAAGTGTGGCCTTACCAAGGCATTGTAAAGTGGTATTAATTTAATAATATTTAATAATAAATAATTAATATTTAAATATTTAAAATATTAAATATTTAAACATTTAATATGATAGATTTTAAAATTTTTAAATGTAAAATATTGTTGCATGAATTTCAGGATGCATTGAATGCTGAAGCAGAACCAAATTGTTGTTGTTGTTAATTGCAAAGTCATGTTCGACCTTTCGCAACCCCATGGACAACGTTCCTCCAGGCCTAACTGTCCTCTACCATCTTCTGGAGTCCATTTAGGCTCATGCCTACTGCTTCAGTAACTCCATCCAGCCACCTCATTCTCTGTCGTCCCTTTCTTCTATTGCCCTCAATCTTTCCCAGCATTAGGCTCTTCTCCAGTGAGTCCTTCCTTCTCATTAGGTGGCCAAAGTATTTGAGTTTCAAATTCAGGATCTGGCCTTCTAAAGAGCAATCAGGACTGACCGATTTGATCACTCAATGGCGCTCAGCCTTTCTTATGGTCCAACTTTCACAACCATACATTGCAACTGGGAAGACCATGGCCTTGACTATACATACATCCCCAGGAGCAAGCGTCTTTTAATTTCTTGGCTGCAGTCCAAATACAAAATGTAAAATGCAGAATGCATGATCAGATTGGTTTTCTGTCAATTATTCCACTCAACTTTTATCATTAGCTTTGCCTACAAATATTGCAAAAAATACTTCTTGCATGCTATTGTCTTCTTGTTATCTGTGTATGAAAGTTTTGAACAAAATGCTAATGTATCACTGCCAATTAATGATAATACTTCTTGCATTTGCTGAAATGAACTTGAATCCATAAATAACTGTGCTTAGGTGTTAGAGCATGTCATCTTCATGAAAAAAGGGTGAGGATTAATCCCAGGAATGTCCAAGTAAGTCTATAAGAAAGTCTGTCTAGCCTACAAACTCCTTCTAATCAGGGTCTTTGATTTTGAGTTATATTGTATGATTCAACTTAAGACAACCTCTTATTCTCTTGAGACTAAATTACATTAAATCTATTATTCTTGAAGATGCCTATAGCTCTTTGTTATTATCATGAAATTTGGATATCTACCACATATTTTTATTCAAGTTTATGCCCTGCAGGAGTCTTGCCCCATAATTTCAATCAAACTTAGCATCTCACGTTTCATCAAATCACCCGTAGCGATCAGTCTAGGTCATTTACAGGAGAGATTTATAAGGAAGTAAGAGAGCGGGGGCCTTGACCCTTGCAAGTCAGTTGATTTTCCCTTTCAAATGCCTACTCCTAAGACTCCTTTTAAGTATTAGTTTATCTAGTTTCAATGTAACAATAACTTATGATTTGCTGGAAATAGAAGGCAGACTTGGAGGAAGGAGTATGTATAGAAGTAAAACACTGAAGATGAAATGCTCATATATAAGTTAATGCTTGTTGCTCATTTCCTTTCTTCCTTCCTTCCTTCCTTCCTTCCTTCCTTCCTTCCTTCCTTCCTTCCTTCCTTCCTTCCTTCCTTCCTTCCTTCTTTTCTTCCTTCCTTCCCTCCCTCCCTCCCTCCCTCCCTTCTCCACCCTTTTGTTGAACTTTTCAAAGTGAAAATAACACTGGGTTATTTTCACCAAATAAAATAAATTGAAAACAGACTTGCAAGAAACCTGGACATTACTTGTAATTTGCCATTTTTTCCAAATTTAATATTTTTTGCAGAGCACACAATATATTCTGAAACCTCTCCAGAAGTTAATGAAAAATGTAACATGGGAAAAAAATCTAGCACATTTGTAGCATTGACACAATTCATTACAAATCAGAGCTATGTCATTGCATTAATTACTATGATGGTAAGAACTTTCTTTTGTGTTTTTTTAAGAAGTGTTACCAAATAGCTGTTCAGCATCAGCAACCAGGGATTCCTGCATTGCTGTTTTACAGAACATGTTACCTTCCAAATGTCCAAGAGGATTTCCAGGTTGGCTGTATGCCTTCCTAATAAATCAAAATTTCAAAGTCATCTGAACAGGGATTTGGGGAATTATAAATATGCACATCTTGATGTCCCCAAGTGGGGAATTATCTACTTTGAACTTGATTCTGCTAACCCTGTTCACAGTTCTTTATCTTATGATGTTATGCCTTCCAGCTCTCCATTTTAAGGCCCATGTCTTAAATCAAAATTATATCCAGAATGACACCTATATGATCATTCTGAAGTTATATTTAAGTATATAAAGTTGTTAAGATTAAAATTATGGCTTCATTCATAAAATAGGATTAACCTAGCTATTGAATTCATCCACATTCAAGATTTGTACAATATACTGAATCATAAACTAACCAAATGTGGTATATTTGCACAATGTGTTAAACTACAAAAAGTGAACACTAGGGAAGTACATTCTATAAGTGCATCTGGTAGATCTTTACAGGAGTGGTTAAGAGTGTTATGTGAATATAGTCAGTTAAGAGATACTAGTACTTGCTTACCATGGACAGATGGAACAACCAACAGAAAGGTGCTGAATCATATAAAACCAGAATCATCACTAGAAGCCAAAATCACAAGACTATGCCTAATTTACTTTGGCCAAGTCATGTGTGCAAATTCATTGGAGAAGTCAATGATGTTAGGAATGGTTAGTGGATCAAAAAGAAGGGGCAATCAAAGAATTTGATGGCTTGATACCATCAAAGCTGATACAAAGATGAACTTCCAACAACTAAAAGAAGCTGTGCTTGATAGGTTAACCTGGAGAGCATTTGCCTATAAAGTTGCCAAAAGTCAGAATGTTGGAGAATGAAATGAATATAAGAAATGTGTCTTGTTATATGCTGAGTATATTTTACAGTCTTATTATCCATATTGGTCTATGAAGCTGCAACCTTACCAAAATCTGTCTGCTTTAAAATATATAATTGCTATGTATTCATTCATAGGTTTGGAGTATCACCTACAGTAGCTGGCTAACTTTTGTTCTGCTGATTTGGTCTTGCATAATTTGGATGGTACATGACCGTCATTTCTATGCCTTGCACAGTTTACCCTTTCTTGTCACCTATGGAAATGTGCTGGTGATTCTTAATTTTATTGTGGGACTGAATCTTTCACAAGAGGAATTATTTCCAGGAGTTGCAACTTCATTACTCATTGACTTAGATTTGAAACCTTATTCTCTTCCCTGTGTCCATCTGGGAGCCAAGGTGAGTATATACTTGCTAAAATGAACAGCTAGTTTGGTCTAATGCAGAGGTCCCCAACCTTTTGAGCACCTGGGACGGGTTCCATGGAGAGATGTTTTTCTGCAGACCGGAGGGGGTGTGGTTTCATATACTGTCTGCATCCCACGGATGGGGCTTTGCTTGTTTGCACAGCTTGGTTCCTGGCTTACATCGGCCCAGTGCCAGTCCACAGACCTGGGGTTGGGGACCCCTGGTCTAGTGGTTAAGGCATCAGGCTAGAAGCTGGGAGACTGTGAATTCCAGTCCCACTTTAGGCATGAAAACCGTTCTGTGATCTTGGGTTAGTAACTTTCACTCTTTCACAGCCCAACACACCTCAAAGGGTTGTTGTTGTGGGAAAATAGGAGGCGGAAGGACTAATAAATCAATATTTTCACCACTTTGAGTTGTTTATAAAAATAATAAAGAAACAATATAAACAAACAAATGAGCAATAAATAAATACATTTCAGAAAAACACTCTGTATCCTCTACTGCCCTTGTGATCAGTAAGTTGCAGATTGCTCAAGCGATAGCAAAATTGAAGCCACACTTCCAGTGTTGGCTAGTTCTCATATATATACATATTTCTCAACAAAAATATCTATGTGGTTCTGTTGCAGATTTTATATCAGTTAACTTTCTGGTTGTTGTTGAAGCAGTATGTGATGCAAAGACAGAAGCAAAAAGAGGAGGAATTTCTCAAAGAAGTGATAGTATATCAAACTGGTAAGAACATTTAGTATTGAGTAAAGTTACCCTGATCCTTTGCCCCTCTCTTTAAAATGGATTTTAAAAGTCTTAATTCAATCCAGCTATAGTGGCAGAGAAACTAAATTAGGAAATAGTCTTAAGTTACACAAAGATAGATTCTACCTGATGGTTAGGGGAAAAAAACCTTGCTTCATTGTAGGAGATGTTTGAGAGTAGAACCTATTTAGGGGTTTTCTAAGATGTGTTCAGGTTGAATCTGGGTAGCCATAAATCATGAATTCTTTCATTTGGATTTTTTTGTAACTCTAGGGCAGTGTTTGTCAATGTTAATATCTTGTTGGCTGGGGAATTCTGAGAGTTGAAGTCCACTCTTAAAATTGCCAAAGTAGATAAACACTATGCTAATGCTTATAAACTATATTTTTTTGTTAAGTTTGGTCATCTTGTGGCAAGTTGGTGTACTTCAGTCTCTACTATAACTTCACTGCAACTTCAGTATGTCAGGAAAAAAAATACAGGCAATCCTATAGGTGAATCTAATCCTAATCTTTCTATTCTATTTCACAGCCTTCATTTAAAAAAAAGTTTGATTTCCCTGTTTAAAAATCAGTGAGTTGGACACCGGACTCTGCTCCCCACCTGCTCCCAATTTCTGGGTTCAAGAAATCTGTTATTCTCTCCACCACCTCCTAGCACTGAAAGCATATAGGGGTGTGTGCCCATGAATGCATGCTAGCATCTTTTTTTCTTTGTGTTGATTGAGGGCAAAATTGTTTTTATTATTCTGGAAGCCAGGTTAACTCAGGGTTGGTGGTGGTTGTGTTTCAGTCTTATTTTTTTTATATTGTCCTATTAGTGAGTGAGAGAAAAAACAAGTTGACTCATGTTGGAGCCACCAGGCATGAGGATGATTGGTGCTGTATTCAAACTGTTTTGAAAAGGATTGAAATCTGTATGGTTTGAGAGTGTATGATTCTTTTAGAATGAAGAATGGGAATATGTATTGTTGGGGAGGAGATGGATGCTACATACATTACGCTTTGTGCATATAGAAGTGTTCAATGAACAATTATTCAGTGTAGAATATTTCATTCTTAAGAAAAAAGAGGGGACATATCTGCACATATAGGTAGCATTATGGTAGAGGTGGAGGGAAAGTGGGCGTTCTGTGCTTATTCCAAGCTCAATCTTATCTAGAGCTATTCAGCAGGAAATCCTGTGGAATCCAATGAGACTTGCTGCTAAATAAGCATACACTGGATTATAATCTTATACCACAAATAGTCAAATGTAATACCATTTATCCTAAAAGATCATTCTGTTCCATTAAATATTGATGATGCTCCTGATTGATTGTACACTCCTGTTGCAGAAATGGACACACAGCAAAATCTGTTTGTTGAAATACTTGGTTCTATATTTAAGAGGATCCTAGTAAAATACTGGATTTACTTCTGTTCCATCATGTTCTTTATTGTCAGTTTCAATGGCAAAGTGGTCGTGTATAAAATTCTTTACATTATCCTTTTTCTGTTCTGTGTGGCTATGTATCAGGTAAGCAGATCTGGAATTTGAGACTTATGTTTGATTCCTAACTTCTGAAGGGAAAGGAAAGCACTGCCAAATCAAATCTGTTAGTTTGCAGTTCTTTTGATGCCTTATCTTTGAAATTTTAATCTTTTTCTATTTCTTCATTAGTTTGCAATTTGTGTAGAAGTTTGCAGAAAAATACATTTCCATATATTTTTTTCAAAGGCTTATAACGGTCTATAATGTTATGTCACATTCAGATGCTATTGTGTTTACAGAAGTGCCTTAGAAGTTTCAAAGTGCCAACATTAAAAATACTTTCAAATTAGTTCATTCCTTGGCTTCAGAAATGTATGCATATGATAGATTCACATTAAATTATAATAAAAAAAATCCCTTATTCCTTATAGTCTAGCTATGTTATTTTAATTCACATATGGGAGAAACTGTCTACTGTAGGTCTCTAAATGCAGTTATGATTACTGAGAGTTTTCTTTCTTAAAATTTCTGAGGGTTGCATAAGAAGTTGAAATTCCTAAACAAAGAAAATAATTCCAGACACACTATATTTATCTACAGTCACAATTTTATATCAACATAAAGACAAATGGCCTTTGAAAACTCTGTAGTTCAGTTTAATTTGTTGTGACTCTTATCTACTATAAGTCTTCCAGTAGGTTACCTGATTATATTCAATACTAAGGCTGCAAAATTGATTTTGTTGGTTCTAGATTCATTATGAAGGATGGCGACAAGTCTTGAAAGGATTTTGGCTGATAAGTGTCTCCTATTCGATGGTAGTCCTCATTGCTTTGTATACCTACCAGTTTGAGATGGTTTCTGCATTTTTCCTAAAATCTTTGGAAATATCAGAGGAAAGGTAAGGGCTTTAATTTAAGATTCTATATTTCTATTGTATCTTGAGATTTTTTTCCCCAAACTCTGGTGTATAATAGTAAATAGGGAATTTGCTGCTAGTATTAAAATATAGATGCCAATACTAGATCAACCCCCTTTATGGATTACTGCCTTGTCGTGGCGAAGGGGCTTGCGTAACTCAATGAAGCTATAAGCTATGCCGTGCAGGGCCACCCAAGACGGACAGGTTATAGCAGAGAGTTCTGACAAAATGTGATCCACTGGAGAAGGAAATGGCAAACCACTCCAGTATCTTTGCCATGAAAACCCCATGGACAGTACTAAAAGGAAAAAAGATATGACGCTGGAAGATGAGCCCCTCAGGTCGGAAGGTGTCCAATATGCTACTGGGGAAGAGCAGAGGGCTAGTACTAGTAGCGCCAGAAAGAATGAAGCGACTGGGCCAAAGCCGAAAGGACGCTCAGCTGTGGATATATCTGGTGGTGAAAGGAAAGTCCGATGCTGTAAAGATTTTTCTCCATAGGAACCTGGAATGTAAGATCCATGAATCAAGGCAAGCTAGACGTAGTAAAAAAAGAGATGACAAGACTGAACATCAACATCTTAGGAATCAGCGAACTAAAATGGACATGAATGGGTGAATTTAACTCAGATGACCATCAGGTATACTACTGTGGGCAAGAATCCCTCAGAAGAAATGGAGTAGCCTTCATAGTCAATAAAAGAATAGGAAAAGCAATACTGGGATACAATCCTCAAAATGACAGAATGATCTCTATTCGAATCCAAGGCAAACCATTCAATATCACAGTAGTCCAAATCTATGCCCCAACCACTGCTGCTGAAGAGGATGAAATTGACCGGTTCTATGAAGCCCTACAGCACCTTATAGAATTAACACCAAAAAATGATGTCCTTATCATCATGGGGGATTGGAATGCTAAGGTAGGAAGCCAAAAGATAACCGGAATAACAGGCAAGTTTGGCCTTGGAGTACAAAATGAAGCAGGGCACAGGCTAATAGAATTTTGTCAAGAGAATACGATGGTCATAACAAACACTCTTTTCCAACAACCCAAGAGACGGCTCTACACATGGACATCACCAGACGGTCAACATAGAAATCAGATTGACTATGTGCTCTGCAGCCAAAGATGGAGAAGCTCTATACAGTCAGTAAAAACAAGACCAGGAGCTGACTGTGGCTCAGATCATGAGCTTCTCGTTGCAAAATTTAGGCTTAAATTGAAAAAAGTAGGGAAAAGCACTAGGCCACTCAGGTATGAACTAAATCATATTCCTGATGAATATACAGTAGAGGTGACAAATAGATTTAAGGAACTGGATCTGATAGACAGAGTGCCTGAAGAACTATGGATGGAAGTTCGCAACATTGTACAAGAGGTAGCAACTAAAACCATCCCAAAGAAAAAGAAATGCAAGAAAGCAAAATGGCTGTCTGAGGAAGCTTTGCAAATAGCTGAGGAAAGAAGGGAAGCGAAAGGCAAAGGAGAAAGAGAAAGATACACCCAATTGAATGCAGAATTCCAGAGAGTAGCTAGAAGAGATAAGAATGCCTTCTTAAATGAACAGTGCAAAGAAATAGAAGAAAACAACAGAATAGGGAGGACCAGAGATCTCTTCAAGAAAATTGGAGATATGAAGGGAACGTTTCATGCAAAGATGGGCATGATAAAGGACCAAAATGGCAGAGACCTAACAGAGGCAGAAGAGATTAAGAAGAGATGGCAAAACTGCACAGAAGAACTATACAAGAATGAGCTTAACATCCCAGATAACCACAATGAGATGGTCATTGACCTCGAACCAGACATCCTAGAATGTGAAGTGAAATGGGCCTTAGAAAATCTGAGCAACAACAAAGCTAGTGGAGGTGACAGTATTCCAGCTGAGCTATTCAAAATCTTAAAAGACGATGCAGTAAAAGTGCTACACTCAATTTGCCAGCAAATTTGGAAAACTCAACAGTGGCCACAGGATTGGAAAAGGTCAGTTTACATTCCAATTCCAAAGAAAGGCAATGCCAAAGAATGTTCAAACTATCGCACCATTGCACTCATTTCACATGCTAGTAAAGTTATGCTTAAAATCCTACAAGCTAGACTCCAGCAGTATGTGGATCGAGAACTACCAGAAGTACAGGCAGGATTTCGAAGAGGCAGAGGAACTAGAGATCAAATTGCCAACATACGCTGGATCATGGAGAAAGCTAGGGAGTTCCAGAAAAACATCTACTTCTGCTTCATTGACTATGCAAAAGCCTTTGATTGTGTGGATCACAACAAATTGTGGCAAGTCCTTAAAGAGATGGGAGTACCAGACCATCTCATTTGTCTCTTGAGAAACCTATATGTGGGTCAAGAAGCAACAGTGAGAACCGAACACGGAACCACTGATTGGTTCAAAATTGGAAAAGGAGTCCGGCAAGGCTGTATACTGTCGCCCTGCCTATTTAACTTATATGCAGAGCACATCATGAGAAAGGCAGGGCTAGATGAATCAAAAGTTGGAATTAAGATTGCCGGGAGAAATATCAACAACCTAAGATATGCAGATGATACCACTCTGATGGCAGAAAGTGAAGAGGAACTAAAGAGCCTCTTGATGCGGGTGAAGAAGGAGAGTGCAAAAGTTGGCTTGAAACTCAACATTAAGAAAACCAAAATCATGGCATCCGGCCCTCTCAATTCCTGGCAAATAGATGGGGAAGAAATGGAGGTAGTGACAGATTTTATTTTTCTGGGCTCCAAGATCACCTCAGATGGGGACTGCAGCCAAGAAATTAAAAGACGCTTGCTCCTGGGGAGGAAAGCTATGGCAAATCTAGACAGCATACTAAAAAGCAGAGACATCACCCTGCCAACAAAAGTGCGTATAGTCCAGGCCATGGTTTTCCCAGTTGCAATGTATGGCTGTGAAAGTTGGACCATAAGAAAGGCTGAGCGCAAAAGAATTGAGGCCTTTGAACTATGGTGCTGGAGAAGACTCCTGCGAGTCCCTTGGACTGCAAGGTGTTCAAACCGGTCAGTCCTAGAAGATATCAACCCCGACTGCTCTTTAGAAGGCCAGATCCTGAAGTTGAAACTCAAGTACTTTGGCCACCTAATGAGAAGGAAGGATTCACTGGAGAAGAGCCTAATGCTGGGAAAGATTGAGGGCAATAGAAGAAGGGGACGACAGAGAATGAGATGGCTGGATGGAGTCACTGAAGCAGTAGGTGTGAATTTAAATGGACTCCAGAAGATGGTAGAGGACAGGAAGACCTGGAGGAACGTTGTCCATGGGGTCGCGATGGGTGGGACACGACTTCGCAATTAACAACAACAACTAGATCAACTCAGCTACAACTCTCAAATCTTCTCCAAGTCTAATTCAGCTGTGGGCACTTCATGGCACACACATATAGATGTTAGTACAGGTTGTTTTGTTTAATAAGCACTTGTTTAGTGATCATTCAAATGGCCCTGAATGAGGGTGACTTACAACCAGTCCTCAAAGTTCCAATAATTGGAATGTACTTACATCACATTATTATGATACAGGTATTTAGTAACCAGCTTGCAATTATAATGTTGCAGCACCTCGCCATTTGCGACCTACACAACCAAAGTCAATGGACATCATGCTTAAAATGACATGAGATTTGCTTAAGTGTAGCAACTGGAAGTGCTGGAACTTGAAATTCCAGTCCTAATTCCCATCCTATAATAATATAGAAATGTTTGGGGTTTTTTTTATCAACTTCTCAGTCTGACATGCCTTGTGGGGGTTAGATTTAAGCTATAATAAATTACTGGGAAAAGCCATATAAATGTTGGAAGTATGGCAAAGCAAAGCACAGATATATTTATTATTAGATTTTTTTTAATCGTGCCTTTATAACTTTATAAAAAAATGCATGCTGATGAACATATCTAATACTCCTTTCACCTCCTATTTTCCTCACAAATATAACCCTATGAGGTGAGGTGAATTGAGAGAGAGAGAATCACTGGCTTTCATGCCTAAAGCAGAACTAGAATTCATGGTGTTCTGGTTTCTAGGCCAGCACCTTAACCACTACACCAAACAGGCTTCCATAGATATATGCATGCATGGTGGGCCCTGTTACATTATACAAAGTGTCAGGTAAGAATTACTTACAGAGATTAATAATATGGCTATGGGATATTTAAGCTACAGTCCCAAGACTGTAGTTTTTGTTGCTATTTAATGAGGCAACTCAAAAAGCTAAAAACAAAGTAACTGCTCAATTCATAATTGTTACAGCAAGGTTGACTATATCACAACATTAGAAAAACCCAGAGGCTCCATTACTAGATATCTGATATGAAAAATTATGGAAAATGGTTGTAATGGAAAAACTGACATTTAGAAGATGGGAAGTGTTGGATTTTATCAAAAAGTTACTTTTGTTTCAATTAGAAGTAATCCTTTTGGCAAAGCATAATGGACCAATTTCCTCTTTTTTGTTTACCCCAGTATATACAAAAATTGTTCTTGGAATGTTGGCTTGTTTTTTTTTTAAATATCTGCTGTTTTTTTAAATCAATAAGACCTCTAGTATTCCTCAGAATTTCTAAAAGAAGGACCAACCAGGCCCATCTTTTCCCAGAGAAGGTTATCTGAAGGAATTTAAGAGGAAACATTCTGTTTCCAGCTGGCTGAGCCAGTCTTGATGCCTTTTCATAATAGGGTTGAATAGTTAGACAAGTTACTTGGCCTAGTGATGGTCAATCCATCAACCCATTGTCCCATGAGATGGCATTTCTTCTTCTTTAGGGAAAAATGTTCTTTAGAGAGCTGTGGTATATCAGATTATTACATATAAGTTCTGCCAATGTTTTTCTCTGCAAGGACCTATGAGCCACACATTTAGAATATTATTTACAGAAATAACTTTCCACACACGCTATTTACCTGTTAAGTAAAGAGCTGTAGACAGGAATATTTAAAAATCAACTAGATTAAGGCCTGATGGGTAATCAAGGTGGCCAGAGGTGTGCAAGTGTGTTGAAATGTGTTTACCTGAGGAAAGGATATAGAATGCCCTTTCTCTCCGAGTAACTGGCTAGGTTCATCATTCTTTTAAATTAATAATCGTACATGTATTGACTTATGTTTGAGTACCTGTAATGTGAAAGAATTATTTTCTTCTTTTTCATCAGCTGAATCTGCATATATTTTTGTCTTTTCATTTGCTAGATTAAAAGATTTGGGTCTTGAACGGTTCAGCACAAAGGAACTTTTTACAAACATTATATTATCGTATGCCTTTCTTCTGACCTGTATCTTTCAAATGCATTATTTCCATAAAGATTTCCTGAAGATCACAAATCTGACTAATATTTCTGTGAATCCATCTTCTTCTTCACCTGGCAGGTATTATGTGCAGACTAGTGTATTCAAAATACACTCTATAATAGAAAATACATTGATGGATACATATGTGGTGTGTGTGTGTGTGTGTGTGTGTGTGTGAGAGAGAGAGAGAGAGAGAGAGAGAGAGAGAGAGAGAGAAGAAAGAAAGAAAGAAAGGATAAATAGATGATAGACAGACAGACAGACAGACAGATATATAGAGAGACAGATAAACTCCTCTTTAGAAATAAACATGTTTTATGAATATGTGTTCTTAATAATGAATGTATGTATACACATATCTTCCCTTCTGAATGGCTTATTGGGTCATGGAACTACCAACCACTAGTAACTGTTCTTTTACTCTATGGAAATGGCAAGGTAGATGATTTTGGCTTCATATTTTCTGTATTTCATATGGAAACGTAATTGCTCAGGGATAGAATTTCTTGCAAATAAATAGTCCCATGGTTATTGCTAATTAGATAGCAATAGCAATAACAATAACAATAGCAATAAGACTTATATACCACTTCAAAGTGCTTTACATCACTCTCTAAGCAGTTTATAGAGTCAGCATATTGCCCCAAACAATCTAGGTACTCATTTTACTGACCTTAGAAGGATGGAAGGTTGAGTCAACCTTGAGCCGGTGAGAATCCTGGCAGAGAGCTAAATTAGCCTGCAATACTGCATTCTAACCATTACGCTACCACAATTCCTAATTCTCCTTAGATCTTTAAGAGATGTCACTGGGATGTTAAAATGACACTGATGTGGGCTGGCCAAAAATTTGAGATCCAACGCAGTGGTTACAGTGTTAAATTTGGAATGGGGAAACCCAGGTTCTACTCCATCCCCTGGATATTTGTATACCTTTAAGCCATTCGTTTTATCTCAATCCAACCTAACTTATAGGTGGTGATTGTTATGGAAAAATAAGTATCTGTCAAATAAAAATACTAAATATTCTCATCTATCCCTTCCTCTTTTTGATATGGCTCCTCCTCAGTTATTTATCCGACTTCAACACACTCCCCCACCTGGTTTTTATTCTCCTGACCCTATTTAGGATTTTGCTTAAACGTGTGAAGTCATGCTCACTATCTCCAACCTCCCTGTTTTCTCATATCATTCACTCTCCAGAGTAGAAAGTTCTACTCACATTCAGCAAAAAGTAATCAGAATTTTCTCTCCCACCACGAATCTGGCTTTCTTCAAGACCATGACAAGCAGCATCTACAATGCAACTATCTTAACTTTTATTATTCTTCATTTCTAATTGTTTATCAGAACTCTTATGTGAAGTAACTTGTTTTTATTACATCAGCTTTTCTCCAGCTTGCTTCTGGGCCTGTTGCACTACATTTCCTACAATTTGCAAAATGTTTTTAGCCAAATTATTCTTAACTCCATTAAGAGTTAAGTTGAGTCTCCTTCAAATCTAGTTGATCCACATGATTTATATGAACACATGCCCACAATTTTCTTGTTATGATAATGAAATGGTTTACTACTGAATTCTGGATTTTTTTTTTTAATTTGCAGTTTGGCTCACAGACTTGGAAAGTCTCTCATTTTGAGAGTTTCCATTCACAAGTTAGCTTCCTAGACCAATCAAGGTTTATCAGATGCTGCTGTCTGTTGATCCAGATTATCAAATATGGGAGGACTATAGAATATGGAAAGTGAAACAGGAAGATTTTTTTTCTTTAAGGGATGAAATATCTTTACTACTATGATACTGGTTTTTATTAATTGAAATTAAATAGGTGCTGAGATTTATGTTCTTTTTCTACCCAGTGACAAAGACATGGAAATTCTTGTGTGTCTTCTGGCAAATAAGTGAGTTGGCTTTATCTCTTGAAACTTTTTCTTGCAAATGACATTATCCAGAAAAAAATACAGTTTCATATGGCATGTTTTTATGTTCCATATGCAACTTCTTGTGAATCATCTAGAGGTGTTTAATAAGACAATATAAAATATGGTAAATGAATGAACGAATGAATAAATAAATAAATAAATTTTCTCACATAGATCTGAATTTGTGATGTTAACTCTTGTTTGCACTCTCTGTCATTTGTGTCTCTGACCCCTCCCCCCCGTGGGCAGGCTTTTACTTTAGCCATGCATGCTTAACAGATACTAGCTCTTAGAGCAGGGTGTCAAACTGCCTGCCGATGGGCTAGATGTGTCATGCCGAAACCACGCCCACCCCATTACCAGCAATGGGAAAAAAGTTTCAATACGTTGCGACACGTCACATGATGTTGCAAGTTTGACACCCCTGTCTTAGAGCTATGCAAATTTTTAAAATAAATTCCCACAAGGATGTGCATATGTATGTATGAAGAGTCAACCTGAAGCAGCCTTTGAGGCAGTTGTGTAAGACTGAAAAAAGATGCAGCTGCTTTAATGCTTTGAAGAGGTGCTTTATATATATGCACTCCTTTGTACTGTGAAACACTTTTCTTGATGGATTGGCACACCTCTGCCAGTTATCGATAGAGCAGAAAGCTAGCCAAAGTTAATTTTGCTTTCTAGAGTTGAATCATAAGTACTTTTAAAACTCAGATAAAATGAAATATTGCTAAAAGTATGAAATCACAGCCAGCAATTATTGCTCATGGAAATGTCCTGTTCCAAGAAGGGATGCATTTCTGAATATTGATAGGGTGCTGAATGTTGCAATCATAAATAGACTTCCTTGGAGTAAGTCAGCTTGAATTCAAACACTCTTACTTTTAAGTATATGTGTAAATACTTGAACTATAAGATTCTGCTAAAGGAGCTGTGGCTCATTGAAAGGACACTGATGTCCTTAAACTGCCCTCTCCAATTAGATGTTTCTGGTAGCATTTGGGAAAGACTTTGTCTATAATCCAAACATTTGGGAATTTTCTGTACTTGCAATGTCATTTGTGTTTTTTTTTATTTTTAAACTTTTCAGGGTTAAGGAAACATTCCAGAAACTGCAAAGTAGGTGAGCTTGAAATGCATAGAATATTAAACGTTTGAATTTGCTTAACCTTTGAAGCCTATGCAGCTCAAGTGGGCAGAATTTATCAGAAAAAAAGATACCTAGACTCTGTATTATAGTATTCCATACTATAAAAGTAGCACCTTGAATTGCCCTTGAAAGTATATAGTTAATCAGTGCAGTACCTGTAGCAACAGGATAACACAGTATCAAGACTGACCAGGAAGCATATGGGTCATTTCAATTTAGACCAACTAAGTTTTTGGTTGATCTTTAAGGGCAACCCCATGGGAATGAGTTGCAGTGATTGAAATGAGAAATAATAAGTGCATTGGTGACTCAGTGCATCCAAGTATGGTTGCAACTGATACACCAGCTAAGAAAACTCATCCTGGCCACAGAGTCCATCTGCTCTTTAAGCAGGAGCCAGAAGACCTAGAGGACACCAGAGTATGAGCTACTGTTTTGTAGGAATGCAATCCCACTGATATAAAAGATGGTAGCATTCTAGAAATATCAGGCTTCTGAATTTACAGCTGCTGCATCTTGTTTGGATTGAGTCCAGATCTATTTTTCTTCCATTTCTATGGAATGGAAATTTTCTTGACCTACTCATTTCCAGGTGGACTTTCTCTGGTGATGCTGGCTGAGGACACTTTTTGCAGAAAACTAAATACCTTGCCTCTGACTGTAGTTTTGTTTTACTGCATGGGTGTTGAGCGTTAAAGCTAGAAACCAAGGAAAAATCACAGTTGATGATTAAGGCAAAAATGTTGTGAACATTCAAATACTAATAATTATTGATAACAATTTTTTAAACTGATATGCAGCCTGACTCCCAGCAACTCTGGGTAGGTTAACATTTTTTAAAAAAAAATATTTAAAAACAGGTAAAAATATAAGAAACACAAAACAAAGAACAAACATAGCAAGATGGGAACAAGAACAAGGAAAAGGATGACAGTCATCTTTACCAGAGGGCTGAGTGAAAAGCCATGTCTCCAAGGCCTTTCGAAATACCAGTAGAGTCAAGGGTATTAGAATCTAAAAGGGAACTTTATTACAGAGGGCTGAGGCTGCAACAGAGAAGGCCCACTTCCAATGTCCTGAAAGTTGCACTGTTTAATCAATAGATCCTGAAGCATGCCAACTCTACCAGATTGGATCAGCTAGACAGGTGGTTTCTCAAGTATCCTAGCCATAAAGGACTTTATAGGTAGAGACAAGCATGCCCATCACTGCCTGTGTTGCTGCATTCTGAATTAGTTGAAGATTCTGGGTGGTTTTCAAGAGCAGTGCCATATAGAATGCAAGTCTACCATTCATTTTCTTTTGGTTTTATTAAAAACTTCCTGAAAAATATTTACTTGTCAGGGATTATTGTCTCCCTCATTACCTATAATACATCACAAGATGAGCAGCATATAAATTTGATAAATAAATAAACAATAAAGAAAAATAACTCTTAAAAAATTACCTGAATGACCTAAAATGTATCTTGCTTCATTACCCATGCAATAACTATTCTGGTTAGCTATTCTAATGTATTTTAAACAGGCTGGCTCCTGAGCCGTTACAGCAGCCTTTTCCAGATGGACTGGAGAAGTCTGAGAATACCACAGAAAATGGTAAGGCTGAAGAGTAAACTCTTCTATTTAAAATTTAGAAAGTAGTGGTTTGCTTTATTGTAATAAATTTGGCATTCATTTTGTAAATGTAATATTTTGTCTCCCAATCCCAGTATAAAACAGATGGCAAGGGGTGTGCTATTTTTAGGTTTGGGGAACAAAATTCATCAGTAGGATGAACCTCCCGACTGGTGAATTCTGACAATATTCTTGGAAGTAGGTGCAGACTACAGCATCAGACTTTGAACCAATGTTTCTCAAACTTGGCAACTTTAAGGTGTGTGGATTTCAACTCCCAGAATTCCTCAACAAGCCAAGGTTGAATGAATTCATATGCAAATTCAACCCAGTTTTCTAGTCATACTTCTATTCACATAACTGCAATTTTCAAAAAGAATTAGCAGTATTTTCATCAAACTAATATTTTTTCTTTGGTCACAGCAGTGGTTTTATCAGATTTCTCTCTGCCATGTTATTTGTTTATCCTTTCATTGAGAAACTTTTAAAGTGCAAACCCTTGGGCAAATCCCAGGTCCTTTTTTATTTTGCTTATTTTGTTTTTTTAAAATCAATTACTTTTCTTTTTAGAGGTAAAGAGGAATAAATGGACAGAAGTGGTTGATAATTTGGCACCTTGTCTTCTGAAGATCATAGCAATAGTTCAGGAAATCCAGGTGCTTGCATGGAGATTTCTGGAGCTGCACATCCTTAAGATTGTGTCCACTTGCATTATCTGGATCACACTTCAAGAGGTTAGTTAATAACTATCACATCTGGAAAACAGTCCAAAGAGAAAACCAGGAATTAAGGCAGGAATTCAATCAAGAAAGCAGAACAAAATAAATCTGGATATAAATATTGAAGAAAAGAACACTCCTTTTCAACAGACCTTCATGAAATTGATTTATTAATATTTAATACAGAATTAAAAAACTAATAAACTAATAATCTAGAATGTTGTTTAGGTATGTTATGGATTCTTCAAGTTACAAAGGTTCTAAAGTTTAGATGTGATTATAAATATAATGTGTTTATTCGTCAATATCTTGATCTTTATTTTGGGTATTGTGTCTGGTTACAAATGTATGAAAAATCAAACTGTTATTACTATGGCTAGGTTTGAGGGTAAACTTTCTAACGTGGATTAGATCAACTGTTTTACTTGATCAAGACTGAAGCAGAAGACGGAAATTGATTTGTTTGCAAAGATGATTCCTGTTGGCTTTGCTTTTTTACTTTATCTGCTTATGTCCAATTTTCTGTAGGTGTGTTTGATGAACTACGTTTTCTTTATTGTATGGACATTTGCTATTCCTTATTCCAAATTTCGTCCCTATGCCTCAAGAATCTGTACATTTTGGTCTTGTGTGATGGTCATCTGGAAAATGTTGTATCAGTTGAAATTTATTAAGCCCTGGAATTATTCAACAAACTGCACTCAGGTCAGTGTGCTAATGGGCTGAGGATCCAAATTTCTCAAGCATTTTTTGTACTTCCTTGAAGGTGTTCCAGCTCCTTCAATCAGATACAAAACATTTTGCACATTCCTGATGATTAACTTCACCTTCAACAATTTGGTATCTTCAAGGTATTGGAATTGCAGCCCCAATATTTAAAAGTGGTATGACCTGGAACAGCTTATAGTATGGACTAGAAGTGGGGAGGTTTGAAAAAAATAAACAAATGAGTGTGTATTTTTCTAAAATAAAGTCCCCTCCTTTTTTTTCCCTTTGAGGGCTTTTTTGGCTTGCTCTTATTCTTTAAAAATGAAAACAAGAAGTACAATTGTATTCTGTAGAGTCATTTGACCAATGAGCCACCATATAAATTAAATGGGAAGTAATTAATTTTGAAAACAGAAGCGTTTGGCTAATAGGATGCCATATAAATTGAACAAATGAAGAATGAATGAGTTACTAAAGTGTCCATCTCTTTAGGATCTGCATTTGAATATGACTTACCATTCTATCAGTGTTGATGAGTTGTTGGAGAAATCATCTTTGTATGTGGCACCAATTGACCCAGCACTCTGGATTGGAGGGCTGATGAAGTGCTGTGACAATATTGTTCTTTGTCTAAAGGTAGGACTTTATTTAAGCACTAATATTATGGTAAGCAAGAGAATAAATATTACAGAATGAATCTTTTTGCTTATAAGACAATGAGTCTGACATTAGTCCTTCTAATGGGAAAACTAACATTTGTCTAATAATATTATCAGACAAACTTTATAATATCACTTTAACTTTAGGAATTAGACTGGTTCAAGACATTTTGCTATTTTAAAAAAATATGGTGTTAGATGTTCAAAAGCAGACCTAAATCATACTTTAGCACTAGTACTTGATTTCCATTGATCCACCATTAAGGAGGATCATTGAAAAGACAGTTCTGTCTTCCATCAAAAGAGAATGATTCATGGATAACAGCCATCAAAAACAAATATGTAGTTGTCTCAGTAGGGTGAACTATTGAAGAGGAAAATCATAGATGCTTTAGATAATTAGGATACTTGGGGAAACTGAGCATTCTTATGAAGGATGTATTTTCCTGTATTTCTTAGAACCATCTTACCATCCTGATTCTAATGGCTTTAGAAGCAACAGTGTATCGCCACCAATATTTTTACTGGACTCAGAAGCAATTATTGCCACCTGTCACAGGTAGCCTTTTTAATAATATTGCCCGGGAGAACTTGGATGAAGGGCTACTCAACTGCATCAAATACTTTCTCAACTATAGTTTTTACAAATTTGGACTGGAGGTGAGAAAATGTTGGTAAGAAAGGACCATATCTTCTTGGTATTGGGGAATGAGATAGGCAGCTTAGAAGACAAAAGATGTGTGGTTTCAAGTAGGAAGTAATCAGATGTGGCTCCAGAGAGCCAAGTGCGGAGGTAAGATGAAGCTTTCTGCCACCTGGTTCACATTATGGACTTCATTTTATAGTTTTGGGAATTCAGAGAGAAATCCATCTGTTTCCCCTACAAACATGTAGATAAGACATTGTACAGTATTTAGTCTGTCCAATGTTTTCAAATGTTTTGAGACTGTGATATCCACAAGCCTTCAGCCATATTAGATTACAAAAAAAAAATAGCTTCTGGGCATGCTGATCGGGGATTCTGGAAGTTGTAATCATAGCAGACCTTAGAGTTACTGGATTGGGACATACTGGATTCATCTATATTGAATTGTACAGAAGATGAATTGCTGTCATTGGTATATCAGAGTTTTCTCTGCTTACATATAATTATATACATTTATTGAAGTACTATGGTTTTGCCTGCCATTGAAGGCAAAACACAAATGAATAACTATAAATACTGAACGGTGAACAAGTTTTTACTTTTAATAATGTTTATTTGTATCTCCTATTTTCTATTCTTTTATTTTTCCTTTAGTATCAGGTTAATTTGACTTACCGTAATAAGACCATGTTGTATTAGATTTATTAACTTTTTAGTTTAGTGCCTAGAAAATCAGGTACACTACTCTTAGTGAAGATAAATACAGAGCCATAAAGGGCTTTAAATATGATTAGCTGTGCTTTGATTATACCAGAAACTAAATAGCAACTAGTGCAGTTTTTGACGTAGTGGTAGTGTAATCAAGACATGCTTGTAACAATTACATGGGAGATTTGTATGATAAAGGATTCACTAATTATGAAGCAAACATTTCCAATATTGTATGCAGGTTGTCCTTGATTTGTAACCAGTAGCTTACTAGGAAGTAATGTCCATAGTGAACCATTCGTTTGCTTAACAACCACAGTGTTTACTTAACAACCATCACAAGAAACATTGTGACATACCAGTTTTATAATTATCACAACATATGACCATAATGGGCAGGCTTATTACGGTTATATGTTTAGACTACCTGTATATGATTGCAGACTCAGTTCTTGAGCTCAGTGTTAAGTCCCTTCAACCTGGCGCCATTGTGATGTTAGCTCAGCTGCCTCTTCTCCTTTTTTCAGATATGCTTTGTGGCGGCAATTAATGTGATTGGGCAACGCATGGACCTCTATGCACTTATCCATGCAAGTTGGCTGACTTACCTGTTGAGCTACCGTCAGAGGAAAGCAATAGCCCAAGTCTGGCCCAAATACTGTTTCTTCCTTGCCAACATTGTGGCCTTTCAGTATTTGATTTGTATTGGCCTCCCACCTGCTTTGTGCCAAGGTGAATGCAGCACTGTGTGGGGAAGCAGAGATATGTCATGTGGAGGGTAATAGCAATAATTGAGCAGAGGGCTGGCTTTGCTACTAGTGCTCAGCAGCTCCCTTTGCATCACACTTGTTCGGACAGCAAACTTGTAAATTAGTTTAAGAAGTTTTGTGTAACGCGGATGATCTCTTTGCTGACAGATTATCCATGGAGAAATTCCCACTGGTTGCTCCCTTCAAATCTGATTAAGTGGCTTTATCTGCCTGATTTTGCCGAGAGACCCAATACTCATTTTCTCCTGTGTAAGTATAAATTGGAAAGGGTAGCATCTGCTTAATGGGGAAATGTATTTTATTCTTAGACCAATATAGTTCTGGAATGTGTCTGCAGGTAACAGTGAAAATGACATGTCATACTTAAGGTCCTCCTAGAATTGCTTAATGAGATGAATGGCAATAGAAAACTAATAAGTAAATTACAGCTAAATTCTGTGTACAAATTGCAGTTGGGGGAAAATGTGGACAAAATAGGCAATGTTTATCTAGCTCCTTATTATCTATACTGTATGTAGAATAGATAATAAGGAGTTCTTATTGAAAAGATTACTATATTTAATATCCAAGGAATATAGGTATCTCAGTCCAAAGAATTTATTGAGCACTAAATGTCTATTCCTGATTTATATAAACTGCCCAGAGTTCTTTAACATTTCAGACATGGGATTTTTCTTGTCCAATCTGCATGAAATTCCTGCTCTTTTCCAGCAAGCAATGACTTTGTCCTTTTTAATTTAGATTGTATATACTGTATGGCTGTGGACTTGTTCTTCATTTTCTGTAGCTCTTGCAAATTCCTGTTGCAAAGCCTTCTTCATCTTACTTCTATCTTTTTACCTTTGAGTGCAATTGCATGGCAGTGCAATTTCTTACTATTAAAAATAAAATAAAAATAGTCACAAATGAAGGCAAATATACTGTATGTATCCCATTCGATCTTGCCATAAAAATAGTATTTAATTTTTTTTAAGACTTAACAAACACCCTGCTAAAGGAATTTTTCCACTTCCCAACTGAATGTGCCCCCTCTGGAGATCCTATTCGCTAATTACAATTCTTTGCTAAATCCTTCTCATTTTTTTAAAAAATAATCTATCTCCAAAAGGTTGCCCAACTATGCCCACCCTACTCTTTAATGTAGGCTCCCCCAGTTCAGAATGCAGTTTAAACAAATTGTACCTTAATAAAAATTCCAAATATGGGTGCAGTATTCTGGCACAAATAGAAAATATATTTGACATTGAGTTATCTATAATATCACTATATATTGAATTCCATGCAGAACACTTATCTAAATTTTAGTGCATCAGTTTTTTTATATCTTCTCAGGTTTGGGAGCTGTTTTAGGAAGCAATTGATCTTGTATTAGTGAACCTTTGTAAAGTTAATTTTTCTTCTTCTGGCTAACTTGAACAACTCAAGCAGCCGGTAGCAGTGAAAACAGCATAGCTGCCTCTAAGATTCATTATTGCAGTTTTGCAGCATTGATGCATTGTTTTTCAGTATTATGATGGAGCATGGACATTTATGTAATTGATAGCAAGATGACATTTTATATGACTGTTTATACACACAGATACTAGAAGGTGCCTTCTTGGAGAAAAATGTTATAATAAGAAGGTAGAGTAAAACCATTTTCTAGATTAAAAAAATTTTCCTTCCTTATGGCAGATGATTTTCTTCTTCTGCTTTTTGCTTCCTTCCAATGGCAAGTTTTTGAAGATGAGGATCAGCCTGTAGTCAGGCTGCAAGCTGGAGATAACTCAGAGATTAATCAAGATTTGGGCCCAACAGGTCTCGATGAATTCAGTCGGGTACCAAACTTTATCCATTGCAGGTAAGAAATAAAGGAAAACATGTTTATGTTTGGGTTTTCTCCAGAAAGCACACCAACTTCCCAATATACTATCCTCTAGATAAGTAAGGTTAAAGCCCTCATAATTCCTAGCTAGTACAACTATTTGAATTTAGGAGTACTTCTTAATATAACGCTGAATTTTTTCAGGTACTGATAGCAGCTGTGATTTCCAAATTCTCTTCCTTCCCCAACAGCAGTGTCACCTCAAGGTATATGGCACCACACATTAACTGATGGTGCCACCTCCTGCTAATGCAGTGGTTCTCAATCTGTGGGTCAGGACCCCATTTGGGGTCGAACGACCATTTCATGGGGGTCGCTAAACAACACAGTCCGCCATTTTCCCCCCCTTTTCCTTAGCTGTGCTACTCCCTTTTATTCTATTGGCTTTTGAAAGCCAATAGAATAGACTCTCTTGAATAGAGTCTAATTCTATTGGCTTTCAAAAGCCAATAGGAATTGTCCAGGCTGTCTCTGCCCTGCTGAGCTTGCCAAAAGTCCCATTCTGCAAACGGTGCTGCACCAGTTGAGTAGTCCTCGACTTATGACCGGTTGAGTAGTCCTTGACTTACGACCGGTTGGGGGTCGTGGCATTAAAAAGGTTGAGAACCACTGTGCTAATGCATAGATTTTTATTTTTAGAATAATTTGGAAGAAGTGGCAGCATTGGTGGCTCCTAAATTTTGGGACCTTAGGCCAATGTCTATTTGGCCTTAACTTAAACCTGACTCTACCCAACAAACTATAGTTATAAACAAAATGGCTTTATATAGTGAGTGAATTAAACCAGCACATTCTGTAGAACTTGTAGCCAATTCTGTCTTTGTTTCCCTCATTACTATACAATCTAGTTTCTATTAATTCCATTCTCATTATTTTCTTCTGAATAGATCTTATTTGGATCTGATGAAAGTGCTTATATTCAAGTACCTCTTTTGGATTGTCCTTTGTCTAATTTTTGTGACTGGGACAGCTAGGATCAGCATCTTCTGCGTGGGCTACTTGGTTGCCTGCTTCTACTTTATGCACTTTGGACAAAGCCTTCAGCTGAAGCCCATCAGAGACATTCTTAGACCATGGGACTACTTGATTGTCTACACTACTTTGGTTATAACAGTAAAGAATCTTCTTGCTGTATGTAGTGGGTTAATGTTTGTGATCAACTTGCTGAGGATGGGCAAAAATATCTATTTATTGTAAACTGCCTCAGAAAAAGTTATTTATTTATTTATTTATTTATTTATTTATGAGACTTATATACCGCTTTAAGTGCAAGCACTCTCTAAGCGGTATACACCAGTAAGCAATGTATATATATATTTACATTGCCTCCAACAATCTGGGTCCTCATTTTACCTACCCCGGAAGGATGGAAGGCTGAGTCAACCTTGAGCCGGTGAGATTTGAACCGCTGACCTGCTGAACACAGTCAGCTAAAGTGGCCTGCAGTACTGCACTGTAACTGCTACGCCACCTCGGCTCATATTTATTTCTAACAATTCTTTAACTGGATGAAAGAAGATTTGTTTCTTTGTTTTGAAATGGTCTTTGAAAAGAAAAAAAGAGTACTGGTGAATTTCTCATGTTCTTGCTCTTTTTATATATGAAGTAGGTGTAGAGGTCTTGTTTTTGGGCATATAAATTAATTTTTTGTAGCTTCTTATATTTAAATGTTAAGGGAATTTTATTTGATCACAAGGAAATTTTCTTAAGAGATTTCTCCCACTGGGCATCTTTGAAATTGAGAAGTTAGGATGGCTAAGGAAGCTTGAGAATGGTGGAAAGCCATGCAGCAGAAAATAACACAGATAGCAATTCCACAATTAACTAGACTTCAAAATACTGAGAAGAGAAATTTAAAGGAAATTCTCAAGCATTCTAAGAATAAGGTAGAAAAGGAGAAGTCTAAGCCTCTTTTTAGGGTTAGTGTGAGAAATTTCAATATTTTGGCATAGCCTTAAGAAGTATAGTTTGGAACCACTGTTGATGCAGAGGGAATTTAAGTGCAGTACATTGAAATTCTCATTGTGAAATAAGACATGTCAGACACTGCTCATAATTCTTAAAAGGATGCAGTAGAACTGGTTCCATAGGTTGAAATTATACAACTTCCAACATGTTTTTTTTTCAAAATCTAAAAGAGAAATACAGTACATGATAGGTGGTTATTTCTACTGAATCTAGCCTTCCTGTGATCCAGCAAACAGCCAATGGCTGAGCTGACAGGAGTTACTAACATAAGCAGATGTGCCTGCAGAGAGAGTAGAGCTTTTAATCCTCCCTTGATTACCCACGAACAACTCTAAATCCAAGTTGCAGTCTAGAAAAAACCTTAAAGGAAGTTGCTGTGTTTGCATAATCAAAGAAGAGAATTCTTATAATAATTTACAGCAGGTGGTGATAGGGTTATATTTGAATTTTTCTAATTCAAAACTCCAATTTGGACTTTCCATTTCTGAGGCTACTACTGGGCCATTTAGTCACTTGGGAAGTTAAAAGCTCAAACACATTCAAAATATTTTTATATTTTTAAATTTTATTTCTATTTATTTGAAAAACAAATTTACATACTTGCCCATTTGATCACCAGATTCTTGATCATTAAGGAAAGAGCTCCAATTTTACTACCCCTTATTTGTATTATCTTTCCCCCCCCCTTCCCCATGAGGCAGGGGAAAGATCTGGAGCTCTAATCCCTGCTAAATTGTTCTTTTTCCTCCCTTCTTTTTTCCTACAGGTTGGAGCATGTGCATACCTTAATAAATTACAAAGAAATTATTGTTGGTTAGTTCAGACCTTTGCTATGTATTGCACAATACCAGGATATGAAGTAGGTAAGTGAGAAGCAATTCCATAGAAAGATAGTCTTTATATTATAAGGCATCCTAAATGTTCCTTAAAGAGAATTATAGATCCACTTCAGTTTACTTCCTGGGTTTGTTGTGTTATGTTGCAGGACTAGGAGTGGTGAGATTTAGGTTCTAGTCCTCCCTTGGGCACAGAAGCCAAATGAGTGACTTTGGGGCGTTTCCCTCAACCTGGGATTAGAAAGTCAAAATTATCTACTAACCGGCACTGGACCTGAATGGTAGATTATGGCCCTTCAATGTAATGATATTTATCCTACAGTACATTGGAAAAACAAAACAACCACTTCACAAACACATGGCACAACATAGGAGAAAAAAAACCATCAGGTCTGAATTCAGCAGTCCATCTGCATTTGAAAGACAAAGGCTACTCTTTTTAAGACAGCAAAGTCCACATTCTGGACAGAGAGGAACACTGGTTTGAAAGAGAGGTCAAAGAGGCCATGTACATTAAAACTGAACAGCCCCCTCTCAATAGAGAGGAAGGAATACAACCACCACTTGTCATCTGTTTACAACACAGTCCTTTCAGTAGTTCCAAGAAGGCTCCACACCCATTTGCACTATTCAAGGGCACAGATAAAACTCCAAATGGCCTGAACAACTCTCAGAGAGAGTGCTAATGACCAGATGATTGCAAGGAATATAAATCCTTCCATTCTCCACCATTCAGTCAAAACTAAAGAAGCTTCTTGGATGAGAAGCAAACATCTTCAAGGAAAAACAAAGGAAGTCCAGCAGCCTTTTGAAAAAGCACTTTTGGGTTCCCTTAGCATAAACACCTAATAGTATAATGATTATGACTCTTGCCATGTAAATAGAAGATTACAGGTCTGAAACTGGCAGAAAGGTTTTTATTTTTTTTTCTTTCCCTTATCTTCCCACTTATATGTGTATGTGTCACCAAAGGCATCCATGTATATATAGATAACTACCACAAGTAACTGAAGAAAATGCAAAATGTTGCATCTGGGGAAGAAGCTTAATAGTAGAATGTTTGATTTCCATGCAAAAGATCTTAGATTCAATTGGAAAAAATCTTAAAAAGCAGTGGCCAGTCACAGTAGGTAATGTGAGGGCAGTTAGACAAGAACTCTTATCCAGAATAAGACAGATAATTATTCTTAAAGTAGTTGCCTGTACTCATTCATCTGTTATGCTCCTTCATGTATTGCAGATTGATACAGGTGGCTGGAAGCTTCTCCATTGATAGATTAAATTATGAGAGCCTTCAAAAATTGTAATATAGATCTGCTATGCAACTGATTTTTATAAATATGTTCTATAGATTCAGGAGATTCATGTTGCCTAAGCAGAAAAGCAAATTCTTGAACTCAGGTCTTAAAAAGGTTCCATAGTTAATCACAAAGAGCTAATGAATGTTGGGAATATTCAACCAAGGATGAGCAAGAGACTACCAAGAACTCCCAGGACTTTAGACTAGATTGGGAATTGAAAAACATATCCTGAAAGAAAACAATGGTAAATCATTTCTCTATCATCACCAAGAAAATAGCATCTTTATATTCACCAGTAATATAGCTTAACTGAAAGGACACCTTGAACCAAATGTATGGAAGATAATAGCTTGGATCATTTCTATGCAAAAATATCTTCTCTGTTGAAGGTTAGAGATATTTAACAATAGGACAGATTTTAGGCTTTGTGGAATTTTACCCATAGAATGTACTAGAGAAGCCATAATGTATTTATTTGTTTTATTTTGTGGACAAAAAATAAATAAAAGAGAAAACATAGTTTGTGACTTGTTTTCTTTTGGAGAGCTAAAGTTATCCTTGCTATCGCTGCAAAACAAAGTTTCATTCATGGTCTCCATGATATTCACATTACATTGTACAAAATGCAAGTTGTATAAATCTGTTAATATTAGTAATAACAAAAACAGCAACAACAGCAACATAATTATTTCTGTAGGGAAACTGGATGATCTACATTTCCAACTTACCACCTAGAAAAACAAGTTTGTGAATATTGTTTCTGCACAGATCCACCTAATAATGAGATATGTGAATTGCCTAAGGATGAAGCAGGTATCCTGTGGGATGCAGTATGTTTCACCCTCTTGCTGATTCAGAGAAGAGTTTTTATGAGCTACTATTATCTCTATATTGTGACTGATCTCAAAGCTACAGATTGCTTAGCCTCCAGGTATTTATCACCAATATTTGAAGTTTACAACGATATTAAACTTGCTTATTGTAAGTTGAGATGGAAACAAGGCTAAAGATGGATAATTAACTGATATAACTAACATCTAAGCAGACAATTGACATGGAACAATTGACATGTCTTAGTGTTATTCTCCATTACCCAGTTTAAGTCTTTCTTGAATTTACTAAAGAAACTGGTGACTATGTGAGTTCTGATCACATGACACATTTAAAACCACCGCAGGCTTGAGCAAGGATTGTGGTGATTTTTCAGACCAACATAATCCAATTAATATGGATTACCTATACATGGTACAGACAATAGAAAAGAATAGGTGCATTCCATGTGTTAAAATTTTGTTGTAGATTCCTCTGCTGTTAGTGATATTAATTAAATGGCTCCTTTACATACACATCTGTTTGAAGGCAGTACACATCTGAATATTATCAATACAGCAGTCTGTGAGCTTCATGGGTTTCCTACAAAGGCATCTTGCTGGCTGCCATTCTAATGTAGAAAAAAAGTAATACTGGATAAATTAGATCCTTGATCTACCAAGGCACAGTTTTGGAAAGATTGTTCCAACTTGTTTTTCAAAATAGGGCAGCTGAGATGTTTGAGTTGAAACTGAAAAAAAAGGTGATTTCTCGGATGGAAGAAAATAGAAAATCAATGGAAATCATGAAAAAGCAGTAAGTTTTTACATTTAGTTGCAGCAGCATCAAAAAACATACCTAGGAAATATGAGAAATCTATTTTCTTCTGAGGTGTTCAATTGGGAAAAGCACTAATGATGGATCTTCAGTTTAAAGGCAGAATATTTCAGTTTAGTATGTTAATATCATTAATGTCACCCATGTAGGCTGGATAGCTTTCAATCAGATTATTTGTTGTGACCAGAAGTATTGCATAAATATTTTGTCTTTCTTTCCTAAATTTTGTTTTTGTGGCAACTTTTTCTTCAGCTGTAGCATATACTGTATATTCATGAGAAATAGTCTGTGAAATTTGGGACAATTTACAAATAAAAATATTTATTGTTGTCCTCAGTGGTCCAAAGAAGTCTACATGCCTAAATGCATACCATAACTACAAAAAATGCTTACAGCTAATGTGAGTTAAAATGCTCCCCCCCAGTCTTTTCAGTGAAAGGATCTTCATATATATATAAAGATGTTAAATGGAAATTGTAGTCCTTGATGACCCTTAAATCCACAAATATGGAAGTGTGGTACATATTATTGGGAAAAGAAATAAGCTCAAATTTCAGACATCTTGTACTTTACATATTTAGGCTTCGTAGGAAGAATATATGCTGAATTCTATATTGGCAAGCAAGTGAAGCCTGCAAAAGAGAGAAAGAGAAATCATAATACTAGCATAGTCTTTTTAAAAAAATCTCAGTTATATTGGTATAAATGCATCCTTGATTTTTTTTTTGGAGCCAGGAAATCATCTGTTCTTTTGTGATTTTTTAGGATGGACTTGATTAAACCAAAATTTAAAAACCAAAGTTCCTGCAAAGTACTAGAAGCAGAGGATCCAGGTAAAAACCCTCATTTTTTTTTCCACGAAACTTTTGAATAGAAAATTTTGAATATTTAAATAATTAGGAGTTTGGATGCATTATGCATTAGATTACAGGTAGTCCTTGATTTACAACTGTTCATTTAGTGACTGTTCAAAGTTACAATGTCACTGAAAAAAGTGACTTATGACCATTTTTCACACTTATACATATTTGCAGCATCCTCATGGTAACGTGACCAAAATTTGGATGCTTGGCAACTGGTTCATGACAGTTGCGGTATTTCCAGATTGCAGTATCCCCAGACCTTTTGCAACCTTCTGACAAGTCAATGGGGAAATCAGATTCACTTAACAACCAGGTTATTAACTTAACAACTGTGATGATTCACTTAACAACCATGGCAAGAAAAGTCATAAAATGAGGCAAAACTCATTTAACAAATATCTCACTTAGCAACATAAATTTTGTGCTCACTTGTGGTTGTAAGTCATGGATTATCTGTATATATCTCTCACACATATTATGTATTTGTTTGGTGTGAATGACTGCACTTCTAAAATTTATTTTGAATAAAGCTTGGTTCCAGCTGATTTCATGAACATATCCAATATAGAAATGGATTATTTTTTGTTAATTTTTTCAACTTCTCAGACCTGATTATTGCTAGGCTTAGAAAAGCATGAACAATGAGTTAAATCAGTTGGTTAAAAATATTTTGGCTAATCAGAAATATGTCTTTGATTCAATAGTCAATAAACTTTAAATATATATATATATATTTGTAAGCAGAGGACTTACAAAAAATATAGGTGTCATCTTCAGGTACCGCATATAGCTCTCTTTCATGCAAGTGCAGTAGCTTAACATTGAATTGTTTCTACCTAATTTTCTTTTGATGGGTTGGGCTACAATTGGCTTGAATAGAGGGGAACTGAGGTTAATTCCATCTGCAGGACACCAGATTAAATAGAAAGCTATTTTAATTGGTTTTAGTATTTGTGAGTAAGTAATGTGGCCATGGAGCTGCAATCTTGAGGAGCTGAAAACATGGCTGAAAGATCTGAGTTTTGTCTGTATGGCATAGAATTCCATAAGAGTTTTTTAATATCTGCATTTCCTCTCTATTTCAGTGGTTCAAAATGGGAGCTATTGCCTTTTTGATACAGATAGTGAAGAAGAAGAACATGAATACTCTGAAAAGAGCAAAAAAGAATTCTTTAGAAAGAAAACAGCATGGCAGGTATGACCAATTTCTGGAGAGGAAAAAACTGAGTTGGGGT